CCTGGTAGCTGTCCACTGTGACAACCTGGATGCCGGGGTACATTCGCAGATTCGGATGCGCCCTTATGTCTCGGAGGATCTGCTTGCGTTGGCCATTGTAAAAGGTCAAGATGGTGATCTTGGTGGCATCTACACCGTTGAGGACTAGGTAGTCGAAGAACTGAACGATCATCTTTGCCTCAGCTGCGTTTACGGCCGACATGTTGGCGTCGCGGGACTCTTGCCACTCATGGCAGAAGAAGAAGCTGTTGTTGCCGCCCATGCCCTCGACTGGGGGACGATTATCGAGATTTTTCACGCTCTTGTGATCCTTGAGCGTATCCTGGTAGATGGGGTACAAGAGACGTCGGATCTCTGGAATCATACGACGTTGTCGTGTAAGTGTCTCGAAAGCGACGTTATTCCAGACTAGACGCTCGAACAATGACAGATTCAAGAAGTATGGCTCGTCTTCGAATGCACGTACTTGGGTGTGCGGTCGCAGCTGTTGATGATCGCCGACCAGGATAAGATGTTCCATGCTTGGAAAACAAGCAGCAGTGACAGGTGCCTCCAGTGTCTCGGCCGCTTCCTCGACGATACAGATGCGTGGCCGAAGAGCGCAAAGTAGAGCGCGGTACTTTGCTAGACCAGTCGTAGTGCAGCCGATGATGCGTGCTTTGCTGAGAACCCGCACGTCTTCTTCCCACATGCCTACCTTACGTTGAAAGACTGCTTCTTGATAGCCTTTAGCAATCTTGCGGATTTCAGTAGCAATCAGCTTCTTGGCGCTTCGCTTGAAGTAGTTGTAGATGGTGCCGCGCTGGGTAACGGGGATCATCGTCAGATCATCCGTCTTCCGCAAGATGTTCGCAATATCGGCATTGTTCAGCGACGCTCCAGTGCCTTTGTAGTTGTCACGTAGCAATACCACTTGTCCATGGAGAGCTTCGATATCGTCGTCATCCTGAGCCACGGCTTCTGCCTCGAGTTCCTTCAATTGCTCGACCTCCAGGTCTTCTTCTTCGTATCCCCAGTCGAACTGGTCTGGCCCAATCGGACGATCGCACGGAGTCAGACATCTTCCAAGCCATTGCTCCATCAATATTCCTGGACTGTCGGTCGATGAACCCCCCATAGTATACTGTGAGTCCATTTCGAGCGATTCGGCCTGCTCCTTGGTCATCAACCCCAGACTCTGCAAGACTTTATGATCGAGAGGTCCTTTGTTAGCTTCCAGAGGTGCCAGTAACAGCTGACACTGAACCGTCAGCTTCCTCAGTGCGATAGTAGCTTGAATCTTCTGACTGCCTGGCTGTTTTTGCTGGGGTAGATCCTGGCGGACTTCATACAAAGTCCGCTTCTTGATCTCCTTGTCCTTACTCCTTCCTCCCAGTCGAATGTAGTTGGGCTCGAACTGTGATGTATGTCTGAGCAGCTGATCGAGAGCGTGGTTTGTCTGTGCAGAAACAATGATAGGGGCGTCATCTCTGCGCAGGTTATCGCGGGCGATCTGCAGTGCCACGACAGACACGAATGTCTTTCCTGTTCCCGGGGGGCCTTGCACAATAGCCAACTCGCTTGTCAACATCCGTTTCAAAGCCTTGCTCTGAGAATTGTCGAGGGTGTGCGAGGACATGGTAGGCCAATCCTCCAATACGTTAATGTTTTCGTATGCTGTGCTCTCCTCCATGCTGACAAGGGAGCTTAGATTGACGAAAGGGTTATGCTTGATGTAACGTGGAGGCTCAACCTCCTGTTGGACATGCACCAGATACTTCGACAGCGGGAACGGCTCTCTCATGAGGTGCTGAAGAGCAAGTAGAGTATGTCTGCTGGCTTCGAAGAAGCTGCTCCGACACTCCACCATGATCCATTTGCGCATTGGATCTATCTCTTGATCCTCCGGACGCGCGAAGAAGAGATCGATCTCAGGCGGATTTTGCTCTAGCGCAGATATGGGGCGCGCTGCGACTACGGCAAGAACGCATTGGGTTTGAAAGGCATCGTCGGTAGGCGACAAGGCAACAAGGGTTCCAGTTATCAATCTCTTGGACTGCTCCCATCTGCATTTGTTAGCCAGTACCCAGCAGTAGAACGCATGCCATGGCTTACCGAATATGCTTCTTGACTCGGCTGAGTGAGAAGGCAACACGCGTTGCGAGTCCTCGCGGAGAAAATACCAGTGATGTGATATAGACGGGATCGTAGATTCCAATACTCTGGTCGCTGTATTCCGCCTCATCCTTGAAAGGTTCTGCACGAACCTCGCCAATGATCTCGCGGAGTGATCGGACTGCATCCTCTCGTAGGATGTCGTACTTGGTTCCCAGATATTCTTCTTCGTCCTTGTATGCACCTTCTGGCTTGTGTGGGCGAATGGTTTCGTCAACCTCAATGAGTGTCTCGTTGCCGTTCTTGATGTCAGATTCTGGCCGTAATATTTCCGATGGACTAGGGATCTCGGGCTTGCCTAGCCATGTCCCACCAGCGACTTGTAGCTTGGCTAGCTCGAAGTACTCCCGTATGTCGTTGTTGGGCCTGGGCCGTCCGGACCTGGGAATTTCGTCGTGGGGGATGTAATTGGGTTCGGAAAAGCTGGAAGGCATGCCTCGGAACCGCTCCGCAAGGTCGGCATTCACTTCTTGATCTAATTTGATTTTAGCGTTGTTCATTTCGATTTCTAGTAAAAGCGGAGATAAGAGCTCTCGGGAAGACGTATGCGGAGCTGGTGTTGCTGCCGCGAAACAGGATGCGAGACAAGACTTACCTTCATACTCCAATGTTTCCAGAGTTGCGTACGCATTGTTGTTTTGCGGTGCTTGCGGGTTTCTGTGAGAAGCCGTGCTGCCGGTTGCCCATTGGTTGGCTCGCTTTGACCTGAGACGACCGCCTCGCCCCATGTTTGATCGTGATTGTTCGTCAACGAGTGGATGCAATACGTGCTGAGATATGAAGTGATAGACGATGGCTGAAGACGCAGCCCTGGAGAGCTATGTTGTTGTGGCCTGCGACGTGAAGCTCGCGCGGTGAGATGTAAACATGCAGTCGCCGGTGAACGTGAGGAAGGTGCGGTCTAGCCACGGCAAACGAATCGCTCACCCAATCAAGCAACGCTCCAAAATACACAAAACTCGAAGCAAGCGCGATTGCGAGATGAGTGAGGACAAGCAACTGTGGATTCAGAGGTGATGCTACCGATAAGCGGGAAAGCAGCGCTGTATAACCATGCTGAGAACCTGGACTGTAGAAAGACGTGCGATCTTAAAGACTGGTTGGAAAACATCAAGTATACTGTGGAAACTACGATATGACTGGCTAATGCTTTGGATAGAGACGAAAATTACTGAAAACCTTTAGGGTAATATTCGGGGTTTACAACTAGAAAAGCCAGTCGTACGTCGTGCTGGCCTGTGATTCTCGGCAGCATGACTACATCTATCAATACAAATCGAAAACATCGCGGGTTTTGTGAGCGAATCCATTTAATCGTATATACGGGGCTCGTAGCAAACTCAGTGGGAATGAAGATGGAGGAACTCTACGGCTGCACCCTTGATGAAGAAACAAGGAGGAACCCCGCATGTGAGAGACAGATACCGAGAGAAATGCAGAACAGAAAGCGCATAGAGGAGCACGCGTAGAGGTGTAGTGGTAGAAGGTGACCGACGAGCTCAGGTTTGTGGAAGTTCGCATGTTAGCGTAACCGTCGCGCCGCACCTGCCGCACCAGGCTGGAGGTACAACGATGTCTAGTGCAGCCTCCAAGCTTGAGTCTCTGGGACTCCAGGGCTATGTTTCTATCTCCTGAGCGTTAGGAACAGCGAAAAATACAAACGAGTGTATGAGGCCTGGACTACTTCAAGAAGCTTCGCAATGACGTAGGGCGTGCTCACATGCCACATGGTCCGACTCGCAGGGCTGTCCAGGGCTTGCTCTCGCCATATCTCGCAACATGCCACCGACCACGACCTCGTAAGTCGCGCAAAAGTATTTCTGCTTATTGGTTACTACCAGAGTGTCTTGGAATGCCATCGCTACCTGGGGAAATTGCAGTCCAAGGTAGTCTGCCCGAACAACGTCATCTTGCATGGGATGCTGGGCGAGAGAGGGATTGTGCCGGGGGCAGCGCACGAGAATCAAGTCAGCAGTTCATCGAAGTCTGACACGTTATGGGAGTGAAGTTTAATGTGAAGGGATGTCCAAGAGATGAAGTTCACGCCGAGATCAGCATGAGGTGCAGGCGGGTCGCCTCGCGCCGTCGTACGCTGTTGGGCACGAAGATCTGGTGAGATTCACCAACGACGGGACCTCGAGTGCGCCGATCAGGCTGTCTCGATGGGTCCAAGTTCCGTGTGGTAAGAGAGTTCGCGCGGCTGTCGTTCGGTCAGGTAGCGACTCCATGTGGCGCCCGAACTGTACCTGACTCCGACCTTGGAATCTGGTTGAAGGCCCCCAGGGTCAATCGGCGCGTTTCCACCTGGGGCGGTGCTCTGGTGAGACTGACACAAGCAGCCCCAGAACGCCTCGTGGGAGCGATGGCTGTGAACGTGCCGAGTGACACATGACAGAAGACAGATGTCTAAATTTTCGCAGCCATGCGCTCGCAGCGACGGGCAGTCGGCGTGCAGGCGACTGCTTCTGCTCTGCTGCTGCGAACTGGGCCAGAGGTGCAGCGGCTTTGGCGGCCATTGGGCAGGAAGGATGCTGGTGATCAGGGTGGGTGGTTTAGTGCAGCATGGAGGTTACGTCATTGCAAAAGAGCGAGACAGCGCCCGACCTTGGTCCTGCTACCAACCCCACTACTCTCGCCGGGGAGTCAACTGGGCCAGCCTTCTCGATAACGTCAGGCCACGGCACAAGTCCATTCTTCTGCTTACCTTGATAACCATCCCTCTTCCCCTTCCCGTACCAACTTGCCCGTGTTCCTTCTTCCAGCCCATCCGCCGTCTCCTGTGAGAGCGGCACGTCACCCCACCACCACACCCCCCGCCCGTCGCTCACTTGTCGCTTAGCCGCACAATGTCGTCGCGACGCTACCCAACCGCTGAGCTCTATGAGGAGCGAGAGCGCGACTTCTACCGCAATGGAAACCGCAGCGATCGCAACTACGAGGAGCTTGACCTCGAGCTGCGCCGCGGCACTGGCCCGGACCCCAGGCGCAGTGCCCCCGACTTCTTCCGCGAGGACTACAACCGCCCGACGGCTGGCCCCATGGTTCTGAGGAGCCGCGATGAGGACAACTATTCGCGAGCAGGACCCCGCAGCAGCCGCGGCGGGTTCGACGACGATGTGCGCTCTACCCGGAGCCGTCCCCCGCCTCCGCCCTCTGCTATGCGGGGCATGGAGCGGGACGACATCAGTATCCGTCACAGCGAGGCCCCGACGCGCCGCGGACGAGCAGACGACATTGACGAGACGGACATTACCATCAAGCGCCGCGAGCAGTCTCGTGGCCCCCCAGAGCGCGACGACATCATCTTCCGCCGTGGCGATGGCCCCCCTGTGAGATCTGTCAGCCGACCCGCCCCGCGTCAGGTGGACGACGACGATGTGCGCTTCAGGGGCCGCGGTGGAAACGACATCGACTTCCACGCCTCTCGCAGCGAAGTTAGCCGCCACGGCAGGGACGTCTCTGCTGAACGAGGCTCTATCCGCTTCCAGGAGCGTGACGGTAACTTCGAGCTCCGCGCAAACCGCCGAGAATTCAGTCGCGATGGCAGGGACACCAGCAGAGAGAGGAGCTCTTTGACGATTAGAAACCGCGAGAGGAGTCTCCCTCCCCCATCGCGCAACCGCGGCGATCTGATCGCTAGGGAGCGCGAGGAGTTTGTCATCCGCCGTCCACGCGCAGAGTCTCCTCCTCAGAACAACCGCGAAGTCATAAGAGACGAGATCATCATCCGCCGCAAGGAGGAGCGAGCACCCACTCCTTCGCCCTCTCCATCTCCGCCTCCTCCACCCCCAGCGCCAGCTCCTGAGCCAGAGATCCGTCCCCCGATCATCCAGGAGATCATCACACATCACCGACACATCGACCATGGTAAGTGTTGTGGCTAACACAATCCAGGTTCAATACTGACAGTCGTACAGGTGTCGTCAGGGCCCGCACGCCAACACCGCCTCCCCCACCGGCGCCCCCGTCTCCTCCCCCTCCACTAAACGAGACCCTCGAGATCGAGATCAACCGACGAGAGTGAGTAGTCACTTCACATGCCATTACACACAGCCTAACATTTCGCCAGGAGCCACAGCCGTGGACGTGGAAGGAGCAACTTCGAGGAGCTCGATATTGATATCAACTTCAACCGCGACCAGGTACGTCACCGCGAGCGGTCGTTTAGCCCCCCAGGGCGTGTGCACACAGCCCCCATGCCCGATATGGACTTTGATTTGGAAGCCGAGTTCTACAACCGCAAAGCACTCGAGCGAGCCTACCCTGGTGAAGCTTGGAACGGAGTTACCAAAGACTGGTCCATCATCGACGTGCCACCCGGCACCAGTCGTGTGCGCATGGATGGCATCGGTGGTGCTGCCCAAGAAATCACCTGGCAGCGCTACAACGGCGTTCGCAGATCAAAGTTCATCAGCGGCGACGATGAACATACCACTGACATTTACAACCAGGGATCGGTGAAGCAAAAGAAGAAGGACATGTGGACCGAAATTACAAAGGACTTGGTCCTCCGCGAAGCTATCGACTCGTGCGGCTACTCATGCGAGGAGACCGACGACTTTTTCTACGTCATGGAGTACCTGCGATACGTAAGTTTGTGGTGCCTTGTACAAGGTGCAGTATACTGACATTCATACAGGAGGATGTTCTGCACCTCGTGGAGATTTCTGACGAGATCCGTCGTAAGCGCAAGAGCCGCATTCGGGAAATCGAGATTGAGCGCAAGTCTATCCACGACTCCCGCCCAGCCTCAGCCTACGACGACCGTTTCTACGAGCACGAAGTATCGTTCGACAGCCGTCGCAGCCGATACCGTTAGATTCTGAACGTGGACGAGGACCCTCGTACAGCTTTCATCTGACGCCGGAGCTGCGGGTTGGAGATTCTGGAGCCCTTCAGCGAAGTCTTACACCATTGTTGAGTCCGCGACAATCTGCATCGTTTGTTTCGGCAGGCGAATCCTTCGATGAGGCCAGCGTGTTTAGAAATGTCTCGCCACCTCCGAGCAACGTTCACGGTCTTCCAGCACGCTTGTCGGAGAAAGTCTCAACCTAACACCGAACGACTCACAAGATCTCTGCAACCTGCAACGAGGACACGGCCTGTAGCACTAATGACTATGACGATTATGACTAGCATACCCGGAGCGAGTAAGAAAGAGGTGGTTTTTGCAGTTTTTCTTTGATGCTTTTTCGGATGTGGAAATCGATCAAAGTGGCGGATGGCGGGGAGGTACATAATTCTCTTTTTTTCTGCGGTTACCAATCAAATTCATGAGCTTTATTGGCGTTGACGTTGTGATCTATCTGTTTGCGAACTATCGATAAAACCTATTCTAGTGAAGTCTGGCGTCGGAACTGCTTTTAGTGATGGCTGTGTGCATGCCGCAAAAGCAAGGGTGCACACACGATCAGACCACAAGTTCATTCAATCCCTTGCCTTTTCCATCGAAATCGTGGTCACTAACACGATCGAATACAACGTTACATCATATACATATTTCCAATTACGTTGTTCCTTTCTCCCCGAAGTTGTACTATATACAGCGCGCTCGCGCTGCAAGGCTAAAAATACAGACGACGCCCGCGGGCGCCGCTTACCCCGCTTGGCACGTCCCCCCTGTCTTGTACGGGCGCTTCCACGCCTGTTACACGGCGCCGCGAACACGCTCGAAACCCTGTCCGTCCCCTAAGCGCCCGCTCCACACGAGCTCAATTTCCAGCTCGTCGCGCTGCTGAGTGGCTGCCCTCGTCATAGGCGACTTTGTTCCAAGATAAGACATTCTTGAGCTGGCGTTGCGGCAAGGCGAGTGGTTGGACGATGGTTGGTGGGGTCGGGTTTGTGGTTGTTTCATGTGCGGCGTGTTGGCAGGCATGGGGTTTGGCGTGTAGGAGTAGGTTTGTATGCAAAGTATAAGGTCCCCGATGGGGGAGGCGTTGGGTTTAGGGCTTGTTTATGCTGTGGTACTTTACTTTTGAGGGGATTAATTGGGTGTTGCTTTGCTGTTCTCCCCTTCTCTCCGTTCTTTTCCACTTGATTGCCTTGAAACTGAAAGAGCTCGGTCGATTATTGCGCGCGCTTTTGGGTGTTATTTGGTACTGAGATATGTTTGCCGCGATACACGTACGGCAGAGAGTGGGCGTGATACTTGCGCTGCTGGCTTGTAAGTCATCTCTAGTAGTTCGGACTACATACTATTGATTGTCTTTGCATGCACGTTGCTAACTTATTGCGCAGTGTTCCCAGCGCTCATATCATGCCAAAACACAACAACGAACGTCACTACCGCTTCGACCTTCTACCTCGATCGAACAGAAACACAGTTTTCTATCAACATCGCAGATGACTCGGACGATGTCTTCATCTACTACGCCAGCCCGGCGTATTCATGGGTCGGTGTTGGGTTTGGAGAGAAGATGGAAGGGAGTCTGATGTTCATCATGTACCCCAATGAAAAGAGCGACAGTACGCTTCCACGTAACTTCGAATAACGACAACTATACTAACAAGTACCAGATGTAACGATATCCACACGCATCGGATCCAAAGCCTCGGAACCAACCTTCAACTCCTCAGTCTCCCTTACCGTCCTCCCAGGATCCAGAGTCGACGACGACATGCTTATCTTGAGAGCCCGCTGTGGCAACTGCCGCTCCTTTATCGACACCGAAGCAACAGCTCATCCCATGATCTACGCCTTCGGCCATGGACAAAACCTGCAATCCAACTCGCCCTCTGCAAACCTCAAACGCCACATCCGCTACGGTCACTTCACCATGGACATGGCAACAGCGACTGGACCAGGCGGCGTGCCAGCAAAGAGCAACGCCTTGAACGGCGTCAGCATGGTGGGCGACATGACCCGAGACCACGACCGAGCGAACCTCGCACACGCAGTCATCGGATGCTTAGCGCTCTTCCTACTTTGGCCACTCAACGTGCTGCTCGTGGCCTTCTTCAAGAACATCAAGATACACGTTGTCTTCAGCGTACTCATCATGATCTTCCTTCTCGTGAGTTATGTGTTGGGAGGAGTTACCAGTGCACAGTACAACCGCGTAAGTCATTCAATCTCACGTTTGTGTCTTCATACTGATGTGTACACATAGTCGAAAGCTTTCAACACCCCGCACCAAATCATCGCCTTTATATCACTGCTCCCCCTCCTTCTGACAAGCGTCCTCCCATCCCTGAAACCATACCTACCCCGCCTCCAAAAAGCTCTCCACACGCCCCTCGCTTCCGCCTCCCTCGCCCTACTCATCCTAACCGGCGGTCTGGGTCTCCACCTCTCAGGCCAAACCCGACCAATCGTCCTCATCTACACCGCCATATCCATCGCCGTATTCCTCTTCATCTTCATCATTCAGTCCTGCATCCGGAAACGTGGATCTGCATATTCCCGCGCTGAGAGGCGACAAAACCGCGGAACGGGCGAAGACAGCGATGAGATGGTCATGCTGGGCAAGATGGAGGAGCAAGGTATGCCGTATGGGCATAGTGCGGAGCAGAATGATAGTAGAGAGTTTGGTGCTGATGGACAGAGGCAGCAGCAGCAACATGTGAGGAATACGAGTCGCACGCATTATGGTGGTGGGACGATGCCTGGTCCACAGTATTTGCTTAATATGCATCCGGGGGTGCCGGTGCAGGTTAGTCGCATGTGAGCATAGAAGGTTTTGGGGTTCATGATTGTATGATTAGCATGGCGTTTGGGAGGTTGATATTGTTTGGGGTCTGTGTTGTTGATGTCAGTTCATCTTGGGACATTTGGGAAGCGAGAGATACCATGTAGCGTTGAGCATTTTCTGGCGTTGGTCATATTCCTCGTTAGTTAGTTTAAATCATATCGTCATCGACGGGCTAAATGTGCCGCTTAGAACGTAACCTTCATCGTTATATATCCAATGCAGCTTTCTCGTCTCCGAGATTCAACAGTTTGCAATTTGCTTGGAAGTTCAGTGGGCAGCCCAGCCAGGAACCTTTGCCCGAAGATAAACCCATTCTCCGTCGTCTATATCGCCAACAGATATAACGCCCATTTGCTTCTGGGCGTCGCTGACATCGCCAAAAACAACAGGAAGGATTGCTGGGCCTTCAACACGAATGTACTGTCCTTTGGGCCCTTTGAGCGGTCTGATTGTGATGGCAGGCCAGCAGTTCTCAAATTTCGGGTCTTCGTAGCGGCAATCGAGCACGGCCAGGAAATCTTCTTCGCTACGTGCTAGTCCGCCCCATGAACCAGTCGGTCTTCGGATGCGGAGTTTGATCTTGACGCCGCGGTTTGTACACAAATAGTCCTCTGGCAGCCTAAATTCGTCGTCGAATCTGCGGTTGATTATCCCGCTCGAAGTGGCGAATTGCCTTGGGTGACTCGCAAATACCGAGGTGGGCGTTCTAGGAGAGTGTGGAAGGGGTTCTTCCCATGCGAATAGGCTTTGATCTGCGATAAACCTCATGATGCCCTCCTGAAGCCGAACAAAAGCCTTTTTCCCTTCACCATACATTTGCTCCATGTTGATGTCGAAAATGCCCATCAGGGAATATGCCATGTCTTCTATTCGTGTCGTATTGCGCCCGGCCATCCAGCTCATTCGCTTTGCGATACTCTCGTCCTTCATGTCGCTTATACCTGAAAGCACGTCTGCGTTGATACCAGTGATGTGCCCCAGTTCGACACACAACGAGCTCTTCCTGCCAAAATGTCTCCATTCTGTTCCGTAGAACCGTATCTCCTTTGGAGCTAGTAATTCTTGTAAGGTCCATCCTCGAGTGAACCAACGCGACCTGGCAAGCTGTTCTTTATCGTCATTGGACATGAGGCTGTCAGCCCAGGCTTCGGAGCCCACATTGATATCATCGAGATAGGCGTAACACTCCGCCGCTTGTTCATACCACCGGAACATACTGTTGATTGCTTCGCTCAGCTCTGCAGAAGACGTCTTGTCGATACAGCAAGTATCCACCCACACTAGCGATAAACCATCGCTCAGGGCTTGCTGACAGGCTTTCAGAATCTTCCAGTAGCCACGGCTGCTTTTGAAGGTGGCATCGTCCCACAGTGACTTGTCTGTAAACTGCTGCAGAGTGACTTCGTCCTCGCCCCACGTGTGTGATAGAATGGCATACGGCGGTATCTTGGACTCGTCCATGAAGAGCCGCAGCTCAAGTGTGGTAGCGTCAATAAGTCGCATGGTGTTTTCCGGTACTGTAAGTTTGAAGATGGGACTGACAACGAGGTGACGTGTTGTCTTATGAGGTTGCGATGATTGAGCTAGGCTGATGCTGCCTAGTGAGCTCAGCCGAGGGGCTCACATTGGCAGCGCTTACGCGCATCGCTGCGAGTCTCAAGCCCATCTGTACTGAATTGACAGACTGAAGGAGTGGCTAGAAACTACAGACGAAAGCAGGGTCTGTGCGTTGGCTCCGACGATATCAGACGAACGACCGTCGGGGAAGCTCCGGTAAGCGCCCAGGAAGCAGTCCTCCGGGCATACCAGAAGCCGCCGACACATCGCGCAGTAGGATGTTACATTAACATTCCGAAGCCTGAAGTATACTTTGCCTTGTCGCTAGATTCACTAGTTGCTTTGCTTGGTTCGGCGAATGTTTCACGCGTGCGACATGTTGACAGCTAAACTTCAGGGTCCGGCCCTTCACGTGACAGATGACGCGGCGGCAATCGTAATGCACGGCTGAGGCACCGCCTCCTTCATCCTCCTGATACTTTCGTTCTGCAACACCTCTTCGCCTTTCAACCTTTGGAATTTCCTGAATACAAGCCACGATGTCTCCTAGCAAGTTGGGTGTTTTCGCCCATTTGGCGCTGGCCGCCAGCGCCGTGCTCATCCCTTCGACCATGACGAACGTGGAAGACCTCGGAGACGACCACGCTTTTGAATCTCTCGCCATCAACCCCAGCCAGCGATCCGTCGCGCTGGAGTGCCCTGGATGCGCCGTTGCGACCTTGGATGGAAAAGAACTCAAGTGGAAGTCTGATGTTGGGAGTGCCTTCGTACGTAGTCGGCTATATGCCTCACAGCCTTGTATGCTAACAGCCAACAGCGCCTGGACTTTGACGTCGGACCCCATGGTGACGCTTTAAACCTCAACAACGCTCAACTATACCCGCCATCGTTCGGCTTCCCTCCCCAGCCTTACACTCTCACACAAGTGGATCCGTCTACCAAAGAGGGTCTACGTCTGCAAATCACCGGCTATGAGTTCCGCTACGACGGCGCAGAGACTATCTCAGAGGAGGGCACTGAGCTTCTTCCGATGACCTTCCAAATCACCTCGGTCGAGGGCACCGCTGTCAACCCTCCTGCGCTCCAGATCAACGTACTGAAGAACTCCGAGGGTCGCCTCATGATCGCATCTTTCAACGAGGCTGAGCGTAGCCCAGCCACACCATCAGACAAGGAGTGCAACGAGTGGCCGCTTTACTGCAAGTGGAAGAACATCATGGCCGGCCGCATCGAGCAGATCAAGGGCATGCGCAAGCCTAGGCCCGGCTGCCACAAGCGACCCCATGCCGGTGCCCGTCCCAACAACCCCATGGAGCATGAGGGCATGGCTGGAAAGCCCCCGCACCGCTTCCGCCCTGGCAAGGCTCACCCGCACCACCACCCTCATCACATGGGTCAACACCGTCACCACGGCTTCGCCAAGATGGCTCGTCGCGCCTTCTTCACCATCTTCGTCCCTATCCTCATCGGTATCTTCGCTGGTACCCTTACATACCTCGTCGGCATGGCTCTCGGATGTCTCATCGCTATTACCGTTGCCAAGGTCCGTGGCCAGCGCTACCAGCCGATTGCTCTGGATGAGGAGGATGTGGAAGAGGCGGAGGAGCGCGGAGAGAAGGAGGAGTACGCCGAGCTTCCCGCATACGATGCTCCTCCTGTCTACGAGGAGGCTGCCGATGAGGAGGCTGCTGTCAAGAAGACCGATGAGACAAAGTAAAGCTTACTCTAGGCCTGGAAGACGGTACAAGTGGCGAGTGGATATGGTCATGTCACGCTTCTGATTAGATGGATAGATTGTAGCATGCCCCTCGTTTATAGCCCGTTTTGATTAGTTAGCTCTCGCAATGAATCTCTTTTAGTTCACATCGACAGTAATTATATGTTACTTTTGAGTGCCAGTCTTGATCTATTGCTAACGCTTCAACACAAGTTCTATAGATCGCATTGCTGCTCCATAATGGCATCACTCTCCATGCAGATGAAACCCAGCGTAGATAGACACGTCTTGTGCCCCATGGTTCGTCCCAACATGACCACTGAAGACTTTAGACGGCAGCCGGGTAAAGTGACTCCAGGCAGCAATACGAATTACGTGACTCATACGTTTGCATTGGTAGGCATGCGCATGAGCAACCAGCAAGTCTGTCTAAAGAGAGGGACATGACCACTCAACGATAGGTTGCGACCGATATGACGCCATATTTCCGTCTGAATCTTCTAAGAAAGCAGCAAGTAAGGGTATGATATAAGTCAAGTCTTGGTTCATTGAAGTATCAATATATTGAAAGAGTTGAAGAGTCTGTGACATGGCGGTGAAAGCTTCAGGTTGACGTTTCTAGAAAGTCAACGGCAAATATGACATGTAACTGTTAAGAGACAAGAGCAGACAGAGTAATGAAAAGAACCATCTCCGGAATTGAACGCGTCTTTGCGAGTTGCTTGTTGCGGTGGTTGGTGTAGTGTGTGCACAGCCTGAACGCGTCGAGGGGTGAAGAAGGCGTGCTGTATTTGCTACAAGACGCGCAAAACATTGTTCGATATTGCAAGAGGTTCTTTGTATATTCAGTCGTCTTCCGATATGTTTTGAGAGGGTGCAGCACGTTGTAGCCGCATGCAGGGCGATTATCACAATCCGACGTTGGTGTTCCAGTCGCGTCGGCAGGCCGCGATTGAAGTTCCCGCACGGGCCATTTCGCCGACACCAGCAGCAGCAACCCGGCGCGCCTGCAAGCGCAGTGGGAATTGGAAGTGCTGCTTTCCACGCTTTTGATTTTCCCCAAGATGTGAAGGCGCAAGGCCTTTGATTTCATGTTCTGACTCGCCCCGACCGGGCCTAGCGCCACTGTGTGATCTGGAGGCACCCGCGCCCGCCTCCCTCGTCTATATAACCGGCCCACCCGCGTCTTTGGAGTCTTTTCTTTCTTCTCTTTTCGCAACCCCCAGCTTTCATCTTCATCCTCGCCATTTACGCTGCACCAACGCGCGTAATATACCAATACCCATCACCTTCATCTCCACTAAACTTCCAACAACATGACTGGACGTAAGTACATCTTTGTTCCTCTTCCATTACCCTCGCATCTACGTTGTCGTCGCTGTTGCTGCTGCTGCACATGGCGGTGAGGCGCGCTTGGTGTTGAGGCTCAACGCGTCGCCCCACTAATGCACCGCGCATCACGACACTCATACACAACCACCATGCCGTGGCGGCATACATCATTACCATAAGACAACATGCTAACATACCTATGTAGGCGGCAAAGGTGGCAAGGGTCTTGGAAAGGGTGGCGCCAAGCGTCACCGCAAGATTCTTCGTGACAACATCCAGGGTATCACCAAGCCCGCTATCCGCCGTCTCGCGCGCCGTGGTGGTGTCAAGCGTATTTCAGCCAGTAAGCATTCCCAACCTCGTCGCCACGCCAGACAAGTCCTAACATGACCGCAGTGATCTACGAAGAGACCCGTGGTGTCCTCAAGACTTTCCTCGAGAGCGTTATCCGTGACGCCGTCACCTACACTGAGCACGCCAAGCGCAAGACCGTCACCTCCCTCGACGTCGTCTACGCCCTCAAGCGCCAGGGCCGTACCCTCTACGGTTTCGGTGGTTAAACATCTCCTCTTCTCGTCACGACACATCGGCCCCCGGCATCGACGGCTTCTTGCGGCTTCTTGGTCGGGGACTGTCCGCATGGTCACACATTGTTTATGGATATGATCTGGTCACGGCTATCGGTCTTCACGGCGTTATGTTCATGGGTGGTTTGGAATTGATCAATATGAAGCTTCGATCTTCATTTGGCTACTTCAGTCAATGCATACATATTCATGCACATTGCTGTCCAATTGTTTTGTCTTGTGACGCTGACTCATGTTGTGCCGCCTTTACCTCGAGCACAGCTTATCGCTTGATATCCTCGACAGTATCTAACTAGACAAATCCCCTTCCACCTTGGCATACTCTGACCGCCATCTCGTCAGCTCCACTACCACTTCTCCACGTTGGTCGCAGCCAGGGCCAAGAGGTATGCTTGAGTAACCACATCAAGCTGGTCAAACGGCTGTAGACTCTTCGAAGCGAGAATACCTTGGCGACTGATGATCTCGTTGTACAACTTGCGATCCTCAATGTGAACATTGCCAGCCCGCAGTATGACCATCGGCACGATCTTGACCTGGTCGAGTTCAGGAACATGGACCTTTGCATAGCCTCTAGCATGCCCACAATCCGGCGGAGGCACTCCCATGATCACACCCTGGGCACCGGGGAATATCTCGACATCTCCAGATGGACTCTTGTAATAGTGGCGTACTTCACAGCCGAAACCTTCGCGTATGGGTGCAAGATCTGGGTTGAGGTTGCAATGGGTCCAGGGCTGTAAGTCGTCTCGGATGTCTTCCCAGAAGGTGGTTTCGGCGGCGGAGGTGTCGATGAAGCGTTCTACTGCGTTTACTCGTATGGGGAACGCATGCTCAGAGGGGATGAAGGCCATGTTGGCTGGGTGCGCTGTAGCTGAGATCCGTCAGTATCGAAGAGCTGAAGTGGGCACTGAGGTGGGAAGCGGAATACCTGAGTGTATCGTGAGTGTACTTGTTGGGATTTTGACGCAATGTTGTTGTGAGGATGTAGAGATGAGCGTGGTGTATATGATATGCTGAGCGAGCAAGAGCTGAATACAGATTGGGCGCGCAGGGCAAGGTAAAGGTACCTTGAGGCGGTGTTGATACGCGCAGCACAAATCCTCTCGAGGTGAAGAAAAGGCAAAATATACTGTATGGGCCTCTCTGTACACTGTCCGAGTGTCTCGTTCGGTGCAGCCTACCCACTTCAACTGTCATTCCCATTTTGTATCCAGCTCCCCACCGCCTCCTCCACCTCTTTACAGCATCCCGTCACCCCAAACAACCCTCCCTCAACCCTAACACTCTCCAAACTCCACCTCTTCAACTCTTCACTAACACTCTCCACGCCATCCTCCACAACCAGCACATCAAACCCCCTGTCACTTGCCTCCCGCACCGTACTACTCACACACGCATCCGCCGTGACCCCACAAACCACCAGATTCTTCACCCCCTTCGCTCTCAACATCATGTCAAGTTCTGTATGCGCAAACGCCCCTCGCCCGGGCTTATCGATAACCAGCTCTCCCTCCGTCGGCCTCAACTCTTCAATAATCTCATGCCCTTCTTCACCGCGAATCAGCAGGCGGCCTAACGGACCCTGGCTCCCTATTTCTGCGCCGTTGACCCGACTCCGATGTGCTTCTCTACTGCTGACTGTTGCTAGCGAGGGATCATGACCTTCCCGTGTGTGTACGACGGGGAAGCCTGCGCGGCGGAATGTAGATAGTAGCGATGTGATGCGGGGGATCAGTGGCTCGAAACGTGATAGGGAGTAGCCTTGCGAGGAGAGGTAGCCGCCTGGGGAGAGGAAATCGCGTTGCATGTCTATGATAACGAGGGCGGTTGTGGTGGGATGTAGGGATGCATTATGTGGCCAGGCATATGGTGTTGTCGTGGGGATTTGAGATGTCATTTTCTGGGCGGAGAGGTTGAATCGAGACGGGGGGTTGGTATTTGGGAGAGTTGTAGATGGATGCTACTGTACGTGAAGCAGTAACAATTGATGCTGTGATGAGGCGACGCACTATCTAGGTACGATGAGTACCGTAAGATGTTGCGATAGTGTGCGCGTCGTGGTTCATTTGTGCATACATCACGTCGTCAAAGTTACTTAGCATTGCATCTCCGCGCGGCAGTCTGTTACGTTCGTGTATTTCTTGTATTGTCATGAGTGATCCTATCGCGTCGGGTTGCAATAGCCGGTTATCGGGATCGGCAGGTACCTGTGCATCTCCACTCCTTCCGAACTGCTTCAATCCTCAGCCACACCATCATCGCAATGATTTCTTTGTACACATGTTTGCAATCTGATAGCGAAGAATTCAACTCGACGGCAACCGGCCGATGGATGTTCTCAGCCGCATACATACCGCATAGCAGCCAACTCATCTCGTCTACCGTACCCCACTTCTACCAGCACCCCGGTTGCTCCTCATGCCGCTTCCGCTTCCTATCTCACCCAATCCACTCCACACGCTTGATGCGCGATAAGACATGTACGAGATGCTTGGCGGCTTCCCGAAATGGAAGCGCAACCTGGGGCAGATGCTCGTTATCTGGATGACGCAGGGTTCGGCCGTTGACGGCGCCATGTCGTTCAATGGCTGCGAGAAACGGGTCTGCGCGATACCCGGACAGGTATATGTATGCGGTTAAGTAACACTTGAAATATCGCTTCTAGGCTTTTTGCATGTTCGTAGTCATCTCTTGACTTTGTTCCTGTCCGTTTGTGATCGCCGAGATGGTAGACATGGCGCAAAGCGCAGAAGAGAAGAAGATTGCGGAGGAGGCTAACAGCGACGATGATGTGCTCGCGCAGCTGGGATATACCCAAGGTAAGTCCACAAAGTCATAATTGCGGACGTGTACTGATTGCGTTCACAGAGCTTAAGCGCAGCTTTGGTCTACTCGGGATGGTCGGCTTCTCGTTCAGTATTGTGACTTCATGGACCGCACTCTCCGGTGTACTCATCATTGGTGTTGAATCGGGTGGGCCGCCAGTCATGATTTGGGGCTGGCTGTGTGTCTGCCTTGTGACACTTGCTGTTGCGTACTCAATGGCTGAGATGTGTAGCGCGTATGTACACCTGTGCCTGACTATATGGCTGAGCTGACCGTCTCTAAGGTACCCTGTTGCAGGTGGGCAGTACTCTTGGGTGGCTATTCTGGCACCGACACGCTGGGCTCGCTCGATGAGTTATCTCTGTGGATGGTGTGTATTCTCAGGATGGCTTCCCGATCACTTCCTAACATGAATAGGTTCATGCTGATTGGAATCATATGCATGGGCGCAGTCAACAACTTCGTCGCTACGAACTTCATTCTCGGTACCGCCCAGCTCAATTATGGCTTCACGATAGAGCGATGGCACACAGTACTCATCGCCTATCTCATTACATTCATCGCAGCGGCATCTAACATCTACCTGCCACACATCCTTAACAAGCTTTCGAAAGCGATCTTCATCTGGAATCTCACTTCCTTCGTCGTCTGTCTCATCACCATTCTGGTCACCAACGATCACAAACAATCGGCGAGCTACGTATTCAGCGACTTCGAGAATTTCACCGGATGGAACGCGCCATATGCTACATGCCTGGGGCTACTTCAATCAGCGTTCGGAATGTGCTGTTATGACGCACCTTCACACATGACCGAAGAGATCAAGAATGCCCGGAAACAAGCTCCCCGCGCGATAGTCATGTCGGTTTACATTGGCTTCTTCACCGGATTCGTCTGGCTAGTCGCATTGTGCTTTTGCATTGGCGATCTCGAGGAGACGGGTGCTACCGCGACAGGAGTACCTGTCATTGCCATCATATTCAATAGCACGAACAGTGTGGCCGGAACATCTACATTAGCATCTATGATCGCTATCATTGCCACAGTATGCGCCAACTCGCTCATGGCAGAGGGATCAAGAGCTGTATACGCGTTTGCAAGAGACAACGGGCTTCCTTTCTCGCACGTACTAAGCAAGATTTCGACAAGATCGGTGCCGGTATACGCTATTATGTTGACAGCCGTCGTACAAATGGCTTTCAACTCCATCTACTTTGGCACAACGACTGGCTTCAATACCATCATCGCCATCGCTACACAAGGTTTCTACCTTTCGTATTTAATGCCTCTACTGTCCCGCATTCTCGCCCACTTCTCCGGCAAGAAGACTCGATTGGAAGGCCCGTACTCACTCGGTCGCTGGGGCATTGCTCTCAACATTATCGGTTTTCTGTATCTGGGATTCATCTGTGTCGTATCCAACCTACCTAGTGTCACGCCCGTGACGAGCGAGAACATGAACTACACTTCTGCGGCGACAGGAGTGGTTATGTTCATCAGCTTGATCTTTTGGATTATGACGGGAAGGAAGAAGTTCACTGGGCCTGATGATGGGAATCTATTGGATGTTGGGAGACATGTCGCGTAGGCTTCGGGTACCCCGCTCGGTACCCTTTGTTGTCACTAGGGTCTCACCTCCGATAAGTGACAAATGGAGAATAAGACATCTTTAATAACTTATCTTTGTTGACATGCTTGTGAGTCACTGTGACGCATAGCGCAAGGGTCGAGCCTCGCTACCGTCTGCGGTTAGCACAGGGTCCACGCACCTGCATCCAGGGACCGTTTGATGATTACGAATTGATACCACAGAGTCCAACCCCACAACACCCTCGCAGCTTTTGGCCTGACAAGAATCCCTTCGGAAGTCGTCTCCCTTTTCCGCCGAAATACAAGGCGCGCACCATCTACGACTACCTCGGGCGACCAGTCTCACATCGTAGACAGACTGTTACACCATGTCGAGAAGAAAAAACGAGCGCGAAAAAGCAAGGCTCAAACGTCGACGCGAGCTTAACCAGAAAGGATACAACATCGCCAACACAATCGAATGTCGGACCCTGCGGAAAGGAGCAAGGAAACAGATCGCACGCGAACGCGCTGTAAGACTATGGATCTATCCCTGGATCATGGCTCCGACAGGCCGATTTCGACATTCGTATCCAAAAGCCAGTCTTCTCGGCCTGCCTTCCGAGATTCGCCAACAGATCATCTATGAAGCGTTCGGTATGACGGAGCTAAGACGCATGGTTGAGTACACGGAGAACAAGGGAGCTTTGGCGGCAGCTCTGACAAAAGAGAAGGCGCAAAAGCTGAAACAACGACGAGAGACAGCAATGGGCATACCTATGTCGCAGTTCGAAAGCGACTGCATCACGATGCTACATCGGCGCATTGCTGACTTCTGTTGTGTGTCGCATTTCTTACACACGGATATGGAGTATGTGGGAAAGCTATGGAAGAAAGATCTGGAGAAGTCACTCAAGTGGCAGTTCTCGGCGCCGCTAAAACTGCACAAAGCGCCTACCCAGGAAATGGTTGACGTTCCGAGACGAACAAGGGGAACAGTGGTCAAAGTGAAGGGGCCGGGCAAGCATGCTAGGCGACCCCCGAAGTGTTGGAAGTGTGAGGAAAGACATCATGATAGAGATCCAGTCTGTCCGATGGCGAGATATGATATTGAAAGATGGCGGCGACTGACGAAGAAGAAGAACAAAAGCGAGGATTGGATGGATACAATGCAGCCATGCTCACTATTCGTGGGTACAAAGATAGTGTTTGCCGACGACTAAGAGCTTGATGTAAGTAGAATGAAAACTGAAATACAAGCCGGGAGGCTACCTTGTCGCTGAGATGCTTAGAATCAAACTTGAAGTATACACCGGGAGGCGACGTATCGCTACCATTATTCAAATAATAACTGTGTTACTCAATGTAGTCCGCACTTAGATGTTGGACTATCGCGTACAGCAGGTGAACGCAAGTCGTCTTCACCTTCACTAAACTGGAGCTGCTCTTTCCAAGGCACAATAGCCAAATACAATAGCAGGAAGCTGAAGTCGTGCCAGCTATTGAACAATAGCACTGGACTGGCAGTTGCCATATATCTTTCGTCCTGAGGCTTTGCTTCCATCTCTTGCTTTCTCTTCAAACCCTACTCACATCTACATCTCCATTTCTCACAATCCAAACAAACAACTACCTTCAAAATGGACGGCGAGAAGATGGAGTTCGGCAAGGAAAGCGACTACTTCCCTTTCCACTTTTTCCCTCCCTCCAAGCCCCTACCCCCCGCTCAGGGACCAACTGGCGCTGGCGCCAAAATGAGCTTGAGCTTGGATGTCTTCCCGGGGCCGGGGGCTGGGGACAAGGGCGCTAACTCCGGAAGCGGTGTCTTGGCATTTGCGACAACAAAGCAAGTACCCACGCTTAAAGAGAAGGATTTGTCGCGACTGGTGGAGGAGGAGAGCGACTACAACATGTCGGGGCAGGAAGATTCTGTGGAGCAGATCAGGCGAGACCGCGACGAATACAAGGAGTCACTTGATCGCGAATACGACCGATACGGCAATCTTGAGTCGCAGCACGAGCGACTCAAGGAATCACTCGCAAAGTCCAACAACGACCTCGCCAATCTACGACACCAGCGCGACAACACCAGTTTTCAGCTCGATCAAAGCACCTCGCTGCTTGCGCAAGAGCAGGAGAAGATCCACACCCTCGAGACGCGCAACGCAAAACTTGCCCAAGAGCTCCAGAAGAACGAGACCGCCCTCAGCGAGGCCCGCAAGCAGATCGAGAACCTCCACGCCGACGTCCAGCAAGCGCAACAAAATGTCAGAGCCGCCCTCGCCGACCGCGACGAGTACAAGGTGGAGCTCGAAGACTTGAACTTGCAGTTCAAGGATCTAACTGCGCAATGGCAGGAAGGCATGGAAACTATCGCCGAGCTCAAGGAGACACTCGAAGAGCACATCAACTTTGAGGAGAAGAACAATCTCCAGGGCGACATCGCTGAGGCCAACGCCGAGCATGAGCGCATTCTACGGGTCGTCGAAGTCAAGGACGAGCGCATCAGCCACCTCGAGTCGCTGTTGCAGAAGGAGATTGAGCGCAACCGTCACGAGCTCGACGAGAGGGCTCGAGCCGCCGCTGCTTCGCCCGTCGACGATGACCGCCACATCGGCAGCATGGAGGATACCCTTGAAGCAGAGCTCGAGAACTCCGGGATCAACGACGATGATTGGATCGCAGCCGATGCCAGCGACTACGAGCCTTATGTGCCATCGTCTGCCTCCGAGATCCACGTAGCCGCCAGCGTCGAACCGCGCGACCCATCGCCAACATCGCTGTCCACCAGCCCCGTTCACCAGGCCGCCAGCACCGAGCCCGAGGCTGCGAAGTCGCCCATACAAACCGTCGACATCCGCGAAGCTGCCAGCACCGAGCCCGAGACCGCGAGGTCGCCTATACAAACGCTTGAGGTGCGCGAAGCCGCCAGCAGCCCGCCCGCTGAGCCAGCGCGCATTCCGCTCTCCTTCTACAACGTGCGCGACATCTTCAACTACGCCCCGGAGCAGCCTGTTGGTGCGGTCTTGACTACCAGCACGCCGACTGCCATCAGCACCGCGCCCATCGAACCCACTCGCGTTCCGTACTCCCTCGACGACGTGCGCCGTGTCTTCAGCTATACGCCCATAGAGCCTGCTGGTTCGCCTTTGGCCCTCAGCCCGCAGAATATCACCAGCACCGAGCCCGTCGACGCCGCTCGCGCTGGACTTTCTTTGTACGGTGTACAAGACGTAGCCAACTATGCGCCTGTGGTGCCTGCTGAGGCGCGTTTCGCCATGTACGAGGAAGAGATTACGAGCGTTTCACCCCACAGTCCTGTGTCTGTTGCCTCGACACTTTTTGGAGACGAGATCGCCAACTTTGCGCCAAGAGAGCCCGCCGTTCCTACACTCGCGCTGAGCCCAACTGGATCTGTCAGTACCAGTCCAGTTGCGCGTCAGAACTCCACCGCCGAGCTTTCTACCCAAACTGACGCACCCGCAACCACCACCGATTTCTCCGTGCAGACCGACGCACCTGCGCTCACGAGCCAAGTTCTTCCTCAGGCAGCTCTCGAGACGACGCCCGTCGAACCCAACACCCAGGTTGCCATCGCCAAGCCTACCAACCGCATCACTCCCGTCATGGTCACCCGCGAAGTCAAACCCGTCGAGCAGGCCCTCCACCAGCCCGAACATCAGCGCCCAGTCGCAGCTTCGTCCAAGAAGATTGGATTTATGGCATGGATCCCCTGGTTGGTCGCGATCCTTGTGGCGCTTTACGCACTCGTCCAAGAGGCCGAGCTAGCTGCGTGGAAGAACGCGAACGGTGTCGGTTTCGGTGGCGGCTACGGAAACGTGGCTACTCGCAGTGGAGCTTACGGCAATGGTCGCCACCTTTTCGGCGTCATTCCCATCGGTATGGACATTGGCGGTTCGTGGGTGTCCGAACAGATTGCGCGACGCATGTCTGCGGCCATCTCTCTCCTCGAGGACTTGGCTGGTATCCCGGTCGAGCCTCATTACTGAGCTTGCTGGACACAACTGGCACTTGGTATTAAGATTCGCACCTTCGACGAACCTTGACGATCTACCGAATGCGTCTCACCGCTCGCCGTCCATCATCAGTCTGATGACATGTACGACATTGTGCGAAGATCATGTTTCGACAGCCATTTACGACCAAGTTGAACTCTCCAGCAGCGTCATGACGGCGCATACTTTAATGCTTTTCCTTTCTTTCATTGCTTCACGAAATTGCATACCCCGGAACAAAATACCCATTCCTACTTTCCGAAAAAAGATGTGCTGGGACACAGCATCTACGACGGCGTTTTGTTTAGGCTCCGGCCAGTCGTTTCAGCGAGATGGACTGTTTATACCCCCCGATACCCCCCTTGAAATTTGCTTCTTTCTGCGAGCTGCGAGCGACGAAGGACATGTAACCTCCAGCCGCGGGATACGATTTGTTTACCAAATCTGCGGACTTGGATACGACGTCGGCAGTTGCCCTCGAGACGAAAGATACGATTACGACTTCAGATAGCACATTAGACTAGACTATGATGATTCTTCACGCCCAACAGAAATCCCCAACCTCGTCTCTACGTGAAGCCCGATTACGCGTCGTGAATGCCTCAACTCGACAGGCAATGTCCAATTGTTGACTGGATTGATTCTCTCGAGGATGGTACGGTACTCCTCCGCAAGCCTTCACTGGAGGATAATGGACGTGATCCATCATCTCGGGAGATGGAGGAACGCAAGGCCGGAGATGGAAGAGGCCACCGTTGCTTGGTCAATTCATCAGTGCCCAATATCACGCACGGCAGAGTATCAGGCAGAGTATTATATCGGTCGGATGAATCATGAGCCTAAAGGTATTCGTAAGCGGTCAGCTGAACAGAGTGAGATCGTCGCGACCGGAGAAGGTATCCTAGATGTGTCGCGGGAATCGCGTGAACTCGTGATTGTGATATACGTTGACTTGGTATTGATATGATACTACTGGTACTATACTACATGGACTCTACTATGTCTATTGCGCATCATTAACGCAATATGTACAGATTGTCAGGTACACTGAGATGCAATGCATCAAGAGAGGTACATACGATTACCCCCACGCGCTTATATCTTCGAACGCAGTTGCCGGGAGTATTCGGGCCGGTCGTGACAACAGCGGAAGCATCAGCGCCCAAGGTGACGGTCGACTGCGCGGCCAAGCAGCGGAAGAGCGCATCCTTGGGTCCGAGATGGCCGGACTGGGATGCACTGTCTGTGTTGGGATGTTGGGGACGATGAGGTAGATGAGGGACATGCCGTGCGAGGTTTGGATGGAGTTCAACTGGTGGGTCGGGTGCCCTGACACCGGCGGATGGGGATGCAACGGAGAAGAAAGAAAGCGGTGGGTACCCTGTTCCACCATAACAATGTCAACAAGCGGAAGGTATCCAGATGAAACCCATTGAGAAAGTGGCTCGAGGCGCAATGACCACGGGCTGCATGTCGTAGCACGGAAATGCTGTGATGGCTGGATGTCGGGCTGGCGCCTATGCCGATGCTCCTGCTCTTTTCGTCTGAAGTTCTCGACCACGAGAACAGAAGCCGACGACTTTAAAGTTTAATCTGACAGGAACAAGTGGAAATGACAAGAGACGATTCAAATAGTGAAGATATAGAGTTCCATCACGGTGGCCATTGCAGAATCGGGAGGGTGCTGGCTTGGGCAGCACGACAGGCTGCGTGCAATCAAGAGATGCGCATCATTGAGCGTCGCAGCATACATGTGGTGACACGAAAACACGTGCTGTGCTGGCGGAGCTGCTGGACCTGATGGGTGCCTGACGAAGATTGCGCTGGAGCGGTAGGTCTGGAATTTGGACTAATGAGAACCAGCCACGACGAGGAAGCACGAGGAGATGGAGCCCTAGTGTGCGGTAGAGGGAAGTGTTCCTACTGGCAGCCCGTGCTTGAAGGCTCTGCACGCTCGAGGATGGGCTTGCACTCCGTTTTGGCCGCGGAGGCGATTATGCTGTCACTGTAAAGTGAAGAAGCAGTGATGGAAGACGGATCGTCGTGCACGCTGCTGGGCTCGGCCGCTCATGAGTAGGCGGCGCCCGAGAGAGTGGCATATTGGAGCGGCGGCAGCGAGTCGGTGAAGGCTCTCTGGACCGACCGACGCTGGGCGCACAACGTCACAGATGGCCGAAGCGAGCGACCAGGGCGTGGCCTTGGTTGTTGTTGGGGGTGATGATGCAGGGCTCACCGGCGGACAGGTAAGAAATGTCTGTAAAAACACCAGCGGCTAGCCCCGAAAGCCTCTCCACACGCCGGCAAACCTTGAAGGGCTCGTCGAGCAGCGCAAATGGCTTTAATTTGCCCAATCACGGCTAGCAGCGCGCGCGGTAAAGAAACAAGTCCCTGCTGACAAGCGACGATGCCCGTTTGCATCACCGTCACTAGGGCTCAGAAGGGTCAGGCTGGTCTCGGGCACCCTCGCAGTTGCTGCCCAAGCGACGCCACCTGAGGGCTGCCCAGGTCCGTCTCCACACCGTCGAATGCGCACCAGACGCTCGAGCTATGGAGACTGCTGGCCCATTCGAATAATTACTTCGGCTGCCGACGGTACGCCGCTCTTTTCGTCTTCTTTTCTCTTCCCTCCTGCTGCTTTCCCATCGATCGCATCTCGACAGAACCAGCCTGCATCAACGCCGCCAAACCAGTGTCACAAGCCTGCTCTCAGCGTGCTGCCCAACCGCTTGACCTGCATCACCGCCATCACCCCATCGGCCAATCACCCCCCGCTCCCGCTGCAAGCCATTCTTCAGTTGCGGCTCCTCGACTCTTTGAGCACTCAGTAAAGTACTCTTCCCGTCGCCCGTACGCTGCGCATTGTCTGCCAGAGTGCGCATAGTGCTTGGATCTTAGTTCCCTCTACTTCCGAGTACCTGCTGTGACCGCCCCCACCAGGAAGCTGCATCCAGCCACGCCGTCAAGGTCCACTCTTGTCACAGGCCAGACCCCCCAAGGTGCCGGTATATTGGTCAAAACCCCGCTTCTGCGTCCTGCATCTCTGAACACCTCGCTCCTGGACTCTTTCTGGACACCTCAGCCCTCGGACTCCCAGGACTGCTTTTGCCCGTATCTTGGTTGCCTAGAGCCCCTCCATCTTAGCTCCCATAGCTTGGCCCCCATTCCAGGACTGACATCACTGTCATCTTTCTTTTCATCCCCTTCACACACGCCTCTCAATAACCATGTCGCGCGCAAATCAGTGGTTTGTGCCAGGCGATGGCATCGCGAGAGAAGTCATCACCGCCGACATCCAGCGCTACCTGGGCCCAGATGCGCTTGTCAGGCCCGGCACAGGCACCGGAGAGTACCAGGTCCGCACATGTCTCCTTGATGCCAGTACGACGGAAAACTAACTCTCTCACAGGGCCAGCCAGGCTACTGGATAACCGCGTACCGCACTCTCACTTCGGTAGGTTGAGCCGTCGGACGGTGCTCGCGCACTTCGCTAACGAACCCTCAGCAAATGATTCAGGACTTGAAGATGGACTCTCAGCGCTGGCAACAGGAGCGCCAGCCTGGCGACGTCGGACGTGGAGGTAGCCATAGTCCTCAAGTGCGCACTACTAAGGTATCTGGGGGCTCTAACGCTTCATTAGTCGCTTACCAAGACTCTCGTACACATGCTGCTCGTCAGCATTGGGGTCCGACAAAACCGTATGAACACGGTGCGCCCAAGTCGGCGGCGGATCCCTATGACCAGCCACCTCGCCAGTCGTCAACGTCGTCTAGAGCGACAACGTATGCGTCTTCAGGCTATGGTAGCAGTGATCCCCATTATACCACGACTCCCACATCCGCGTATGGAAGTTCGCATCCAGGATACCAGGCTTCCTCCGTCTCCGCTGCTCCCAGGACCCAGCCAGCGGACCCGTACTCATCTTACCAACAGCCCAGCGGACGGGATTACCCTGCGCAGTCTGCTTATTCCTCTTACCCAGCGCAGACCCCAGATCCCTATGGACGCCAGCCGGCCACCCAAGCGACCCAGTACGCTACTCCAAGGTATTTTGGTTACTATGACGAACCCTATTTGGTCTATCGCTAAGCCCCATTAGTGCCACAGCAGCCGCTCCTGGCTACTACATTGCCTCTGACGGTCGTCGTAAGTCATTGCAGTCGTTGCGCGACTCCACAACTAACATTTCTCCCTCAGAATATCCCTTGTCGCAACAACCTCAATCGTCACGCAATCCACAGTCTGGCACCTCTAGGTACAGTACAAGATAGAGTCCATCTCCATTGACGGCCTTGTCCTTGTTCCTGCGTCGATATACCGATCCCGGAGATACCCCTTCTTTCCAAGCTACTGGATGGTGCTCTGGAGTCTGGCCACTCTAATGTTTTAATGGATCCATCTTCTACCCTCTGGGTACCGTAGGGAGTTTGCCATTACCAAAAGCATCCGGACAGATTTGTTTCCCTGGGACTTAAGCCATGGACCCATACCTCTCCCAGCCTGGCGGAGCAGCCCACAGGAGCATTTACTACCCGGATTTTCTTTGTTTTTGATCTTATGTACGTTAATTGGGAAATTGGGTTTCGTTTCTCATTCTCCTCACACGACTGGATCTTTGCTCTGCAGGATGCGGAACCAATTCCTGCCATGGATCTTCCAGCCTCCATCTGGACATGTATTCCGCTCATGTCTGTTATTATCATGCAATTGCATCAATTCCCCGGATTCTGCTTTTCTTGCTATGTATATACCTACGACACGGGCGTTGCTCCACGAAGTCGATGTTTACGAATGAACGGTTATCTGCCCATGCACAGCATGCGTAGAAGTAAACACCACTGTGCCCATCACATTGCTTTGATCCCGCACTGGCGTGCTGCTGGATGCTTTGCGCCCACTCATCTCACTGACATCACCACACTGACGCTCCGTTCATCGTGCTTGACAAGCCATCCCTCTCGCTGCCTGGTGAAGTCATCACAATCTAGGTTGTTCTGCGCCACCGAGTCACTTCATGCAATTCGCCTCAATGGTACGATGACTAGCATGGGCGGTGGGTTGATCTCGCATTCTGCCTCTACCCGCCGATCGGCACGATTATCACCACGCTACGGCAATCTTCTTGCGCCATTTTCAGCTGCCCCACGTGACTATGCAGATCTCATGCCGACACCCGGACGGTGCCTGCCAATATTATGCTGTGCGTGCTGTAGATGAGCTCTATGAAGTCCTGATGGCTGTGGCACATTCAAGTCGAGTGAATTCTGAATACATGTGGGTACAGATGAACACCCGCTTGCGTCCATTGCCGAGGTAGATCTTGCCACCACACCGACGTTGCACGATCTGCATACTCTAGGTGCGCAGATCCCTAAACCTCCCAAGCTGAAAATCTGGAAAAAAGAAGCTATTCAAAGTTTGACGACCTCACGAGCTTCGCCTCCTGACGCCACAAGCTCAAGCCGATGATGCAGCGTGGAAAATCTCGCGAGCTAGCTGTCGTCTTAGCAGGTGAAGCGGCTCGGCCCATCTAGAACCACTTCGCAAAACCACCCTGAAGCTAGGAGCATAGTCACTACGGAATCTTCTACTTCCTTGACGATCTGCTTGCTATCGCTATAAGGTTTTCAATCCATAGTCGTGCTATCTAGTCACCTCCTCGGAGCATCTGGTCACCACGTGTTCTGACGAGTCATGATGCCGCTTTCCACGTCGGTCTCCAAGTCCGCAGATTCTCCCGGGCCAAACAATTATCCGAGCCTAACACTACCGCGATAGAACATCAAGGCCGAAGACACCGTTATCTCGCAGTAGCATATGCCGAACCCCTCGGCATCCACCAGCGATAGCGGAGATACTCCCGCAATGTCGAGCTTGGCCCGTCGTCACAACAGCTACATCATGGGCGCCGCCATGTTGGGTTGCAAACCTTCTACCTTTAGCTCTCCACGACATACACCATGATAGCGTTCCCAAAGCTCTGGGTGGCTTCGACGCTCCTAGTCCAACAGGTGTTTGCAGGCCGTAATTTACTCCCGCGTAATGATACGGAAACGCATGCGACGGGCTTGTTGCACGAGTCGATGGACTGGATGGACATGTACTATGACAACGAAAGAGGCTATCTGTTCAGCTTGGACGCGGCTGCCCTGACGCATGACACAAGGTCGAGCGTCTGGTATGCAGCTGGCTTGTTGGCGCGAAACGAAGCCGATGATGTCGAGCAGGCAGTACGCATCGTGAAGAACGTCATTGGAGGGCAGTTCAAGAACGAGAGTGAGCAATGGTGAGTTTGGTAGTCCAGAATGACCATCAAATGCCTCTAGCTAATCTTGCTGACATAATCCAAGGTACGGCGACTATCAAATCTATCCTGAAGAGCCGACTGTGGGTACGGAGCAGTACCCAGCTGTCATATACAACTCATGGGACCCCAATTGGCGTGGCTTCGTCGGCACAACGTTTGTTGTTATGCTAGAAGAATTCCCGCATCTCCTTCCTCAAGATGTTCAAGATTACATACTGGAGAGTCTGTTCAACACCACGATTGGAGATAGTTACCGCGTTGGTGGCGTCGACGATGATAACCTCTACCCGGCCTACAGCAACCCCTCTATCATGAGGGCCTTTGTCTCCGGATACGTTGGTCGCCGCGCGAACGACTCCAACATGACAACCGCAGGCGAAGCCTACGCGAAAGAGGTCATCGATCTGTTTGTCCGTGACAACACGCTTTCTGAGTTCAACTCTGGAACTTACGCTGGTGTTTCACTGTACGCGCTCACACTTTGGGCAAAGTATATGCCAGGTGATAGCATAATGGGCGAGTATGGACCGAAGATGATTCGCGACACGTGGTCGGTACTGGGTGAGCTATATCATGCGGACTTGAAGAATGTGGCTGGACCCTGGGATCGCGCGTATGGGTTTGACATGAACCGGTATCTGAGTATTCTGGCGCTGCATATGTGGACGATTGTCGGTAAGGAGATGGCGCCTGTCAATAAGAAGGTATGTACTGTTCTCTTTCAAAAGCACACCAAGGATAGTTACATCTCGTGTTGCAGTATACATCGTCTTAGCAAGTGTTCACTTGTTAAGATATAGCAGCATGCATATGGCACTGCGATACGGATTCTAGCCATCCCTGGAGAGAGAGTGCCAAAGCTAACAATTCGAACATAGCCATATGCCATGGGCCACAAGAACGACTTCGCAATTGGGCCCCTGGTCGCTATCCTAGCACCCTACCACAACACCCTGGTCCCCAACACCACTCTCTCGTCGCTCTCTTCCTTCCCCGGTACCCATACCGTCAAGACTTCCGCTTTCTCCCCGCCCTACGATACTTACCCGCGCAACATAACCGCCTATCTCAGCCCGAATTTGACCATCGGCGCGGAGTCCTTCTCGGAGAATGTCGTCGGCGGCCCGTCCATCAACAAGAACTCATTCAATCCTGCGGTCGTACAGTGGAAGAGACAGGACGGAACTGTGGGTTGGATGAGTCTGTATGCCCAGACCATGGCGCTAGATGTCGTTGTAGAAGAAGGCAGCCTAATGCTCGAGTACCCAATGGGAAATGCGTCGAGTGCGTTTTCTTTCCTGGTCGGCACAAATGGGTGGGATGGGAAGAGGGATGTGCGCGGCTGGGCGGATGTAGAGGGTATTGACGTAGCGGTGTCCGGGTCTGTGGGGTTGGAGCCTGAGGTTACGTTTAATGGGCTTGTTGGAGGAGCGGGCGAAGTCATAAAGTAAGTTCCCCGAAGATCGTCGCTTGGGGAGAGAAGGGGGGAAAAGAAAGTGGGCGTTCGCTAACATGATACAGCGACTTTGAGTTTTGGAACTTTACCTATAGGATGCCAGAGGGGAGCGAGGAGGTGCCGCGAGTTCAGCTGGACTTTGACGTCGTGTGGTGAAGTGAAGAATCGTAAACGTCAGACTACATCATCAGTTTTGGCAGCGTGGACTATCGCAGAGGCAAAGCGAATAAGCGCATCTTTATCACGAATGCATCCGGGGCTCAAGAAGAAAGCGTTCACTTCCAAACAACGTGACTTCATTCAAACATTGACTCGTCGTAACACTTAATATGATCAACTCCCTCTTCCAAAGAACAACTTGGCCTGCCCTTTCTCTACCCCGTCTCCTCTCCCAGCACCGTTTCCCGGTGGCCGTCCCCGCCCTCTAGAAGGTTTCGAACCGCCAGCACCTTTTTTTGCAGGGGCCGGTGTGGGATTCCTCTCTTCCTGCCGCATTTCCTTCGATAGATCGAGGGCAAAGTGGTAGTCTTCGTGTTCGGCTTTTTCGCCTGGTGGGAGATGGAGGTTACAACGTGAGCAAAAGTAAGTCTCTACAGGTCTTTGCGGTACGGAGGGTCTAGCACGAGGAACAGGTGTTACTGGGTCGTGATGCTGTTGTGGTGGTGAATGTGACGCGGGCTGGGGTTGGGCCGAGGGAGGTGTATCTGGGGGATACACGTCCATGTCTGAACTGTGACGGTCTAATGGTGGTGTCGATGGTCGCTGTACATCATCGTCTTGTTGTGCTTGGAAGGGATCGAGATCCTCCCCAGTTGCTTCCGCCTCGTCTCCACTCTCGTCCCTTGTAGATTCGCTATGTGCTTTCCACAACACAGCTCTTGCAGCATCGAAGTCGCTTTTCTTCTCATCTCTCGGGCCGAAGAAATTAGCAATGTTGCCTTTTGTCCTTCTCCGCTTCGCGGGTGGCTCGCCTCCACCGATGGTAGCTCTGCCACTTGACATCATGGCCTTTGCTTCTTCGCCTCGAACGAGGAAGCCACCAATACCTTTATTGTTCGTGATGCCGTCTTCGAAACCCCCGACGCTCAGAGAAAGATTGGAGCAAGGCCACGCTCTCCCATCGACGACGACTTGGGCCAGAAGATTCTTGGCAAGATCGAACAAGATGGTTTCTGACAGTGGTTTGCCCTGGGGTATCGGTGCTTGTCGACTCCGTGTTTGTGCACCTTGACGATGATGCAAGTTGATGCTCTTGGGCCTTCTCTTGTTCTCCAGCACACCCTCTTCCACGCACCGTGAGAATATGTCCGCCACGAAGATGCGTAGCCACCGTACACCCTGCTCGAACGAGTTGATGGCTGGTCTAAAGGATTTGGCCGAAAGCATGCTCTTGATCTGCGTGCGCGGGTTGACCTCGCTGCTGTCTTCGCCTCTGATGATGGAGTATATCCAGCTGCCGGTGTCATCACCCAGCTTCTTCAATTGATCCAATGGCTGTTCCACAAGGTCCTTCACTTTGTCTGTTCCGAACATTGCCACTACTTCGTCCCCCAGTTTGCCTCCCAGCATGCGAATCTTGGTAAACTTCATGTCGGAGAGAAAGTGCTTGACAGCGCGATTCCGTATAACGGTTTGTTGATTTGGTTTCTTGTATCCTGATCCTAGTTTCGATAGCATCTTGTTCCTTGCAACGCCCCCGGAGCATGTGTAGCCCAACGTATCCTTGATATGTCTCCTCACATCTCGTACAATCTCGGATGCGATGACCATACACACATCGTCCCAGTCTGGATCTCTGTCTTCTCCATCTTCCTCGCCTGTTTCGACGAGCGCATCGGCCGCCCAGTCCAACACGGTTGTAGGCACCTTCGGCAGTGGCTCCGTCGGGTCGTCGTACGGCGCGGGGCCTCTCAATTCGGGGTATCTCTCCAGCAATATGGTATGCACCTGCGCGCTCAGGTCCATGAAAACCTCGTCGATACTCGCCTTCTCGACACGTTGTTCTTTCTCGGGCAGAGTCTCCTTGATGCATTTCAGGATCTTGCGGCACTCCATGCGATATGGGTCCAGGCTGACTTTATGCGTCGCCATTTCCTTGAAGCTGTTCTCATGATATGCCCATGTCTCGTCTCCCTCCTTCCACGTCGCAACATGTTGTAGTATAAGATCCGGGCATTGCTTCAACGCTTCAGTCGAGGTGACGTGTCGGCTGAGTCCGAATGCGCGCGCGGGGTAGTTGATCGCTATCAGGCCCTGCCATTGTTGTACGGCGAGCGGTTTGGAGGGGTCGATGCCGAGGCGGACGGTTTCGCACTGCGCGTAGAAGGCATCGAGATCGACGTGTGCGATCACACGGAGGGGCGTCTGCGGGCTGTACGTCTTAAGCTGGTGTAGCTGTTTATACGTGAACTTTGACTTGGGGATGCGACGCGGAGAGGTGATGGAGAACTGCGACGAATGAAACTCCGGCGATGGTGACGACATGCCGAGTGACGGCTCATATCAGAGATTGGGGTCACGTTCGAGGAGGGCGCGATAGAGTCTGGGAGGGTACTAGCCGAGTTGCGTAGTGGAACTGGAGAATGCGATGTAGACGCGACATCTGGAAGGCGCGTGTTCCCGCGGTCCCGTGCATGCGCGTCATTCATCCCCGAGATCGCGCTAGCCAGATCGGATTCGCTGTTCGATCAACACCACGTCTGCAACCATCAATCAATCTCACGACAGCTATGCGTGCTACCACTGGATATGGGACTACGATGTCGCAATCGAAGGCAAGTCCACAATGAAACATCAACCGCCCAAGTCCAGGTCACGGCACGCTCATGGCATTTGATGATTTTCCGCTGGAGCATGACATTAGCGTCATGCAATTCCTAGTGAGCACACAGCTTTTAAAGGAGCGGGCGTTAACTGTAGCTGCCAAATTCGAACAGTTGGGATGATATGATTGTGCAAATGCACTGCCTTAACTGTCCAAGATGATGCATCACGTAGACGGCAGACGTATATGAACAGGCAATATATCGCGGATGATCTAATTCTTGCGCGTACCTGAAGATCAAGCCATGGCGTGTTGCACAGCAGGGTCACATTTCGGTGATTGGCCGCGGCGCCACATTTCGAAAGACATCAGCCGCAAATCAATGTGCAGCGTGCAAGCACACGCACGCCACACTGCAATCACAGTGACAATACGGAAACGATGCGACCGTTTCAGACGTGGCAAACAAATCCATGAAACTCTTTTGAGTTGCTGCACTGCCATACCAAGGCTGTTGACATAGTCGTTGACGTCATGGTGAGCCCTTGATCCAATAGGAACATGCGGCTCAAGCCTCGCGACTACAGCAGGGCGAATACCTAGGGCGTTGCTTTTAATCGAGCTGTATTTTGTCGTGTGTAACCTCCTCTAATTCCCATACATACTGTTACCGTAATCATGATCGCAAAGATGGAAGGAACTAATGGACATGCGGAGTCTGGTGGAGACGTACCAGTCTACGCGATTGACAATGTACCCATTACCCACGAGAGGAAACCATACATTCAAGGGAAGAAGTCAAACCTACCACACGCAGGTACGTACCACGGCGCGCACGCTACTACTACTACGTCGTCTGCTAACCCTCCATAGCGGTCGCACGTGCAAACCTCGCTCCGTCGGAGGAGACACCTCAAGGCAGCACGCAAGACGACTGGGCAAAGAAGCACTCACATCAAACCGTGCTGCAACAACACTGCGACTTCTTTGACCGCGACCACGATGGTATTCTCTGGCCGCAAGACACCTTTGTCGGCTTCTACCGCTTAGGCTGCGGACTCTTCTTCTCCGCCTTCGCCGTACTGGTCATCCACATCAACTTCTCATATCCCACGTGCTCGGGATGGCTCCCGGACCCCTACTTCCGTCTCTTTCTGAACAACGTGCACAGAGCGCGGCACGGTAGTGATACAGGCACGTATGACACCGAGGGGCGGTTTATACCGTCGAAATTCGAAGAGATTTTCACCAAGTACGCCGAGGGACGGGATTATCTGACCGTGGGTGATCTGGTGAACGTGTTGAAGGGGCAGAGAAATATCAACGATCCTATCGGGATGTGTGGATTCATCTTTGAGTGTAAGCACAATCGCTTTCGGATAGTATGAGAGGCAAAATGCTGATATCAAACAAGGGACTGCAACGTATTTGACACTTTGGCCCGAAGACGGTCGGATGATGAAGGTACGCGATACGACGGAACCTATCTTGAGTTGCTGTTGATGCTAACAATAAAAAGGAGGATATTCGCGCCGTATATGATGGCAGTATTTTCCAGAGGATCGCCGATAAGCGCGAGAGAAAGATGGAGATGCAGAAGAAGAAGAGCCAATGATGAGCGTCGGCGTCTCCGATAGATCCATAGAGGGAGTCGATGTACATGCACATCACGACTCCGAGGAAATTCATTCGAGTTCCAAAAAGCGTTTCTTGAATATGTGGCGCTGTGGTAGAGTGTGTAAGAGTACCGCTACTGAAATGTCCAGTTCCACCAACCCGCGCCCAGACATGTGTCGTTCCGAAAGACCGGCCGAATCAAGCAGTGACATCACCAGTCAGCGCATGCCCCTGTCGCATCCATGGATTTCAATCAAAGAATCAGGACCTCACCTGACGATACTTGTACCTTTACGATAACACGCGCATAATTCTCGATTCGAACATACAGATGAAGCTAGCTCACAGGGCATACTACCCGTAGCCAATGGTAGCTGTCTGGCCGCGGACACCTGCATATCATTCATCCAGTTCTTCGATCCAGCAGCTAGCACCAGCCCTTTGATCCACGATCACGATCACCATGGTAAGAGTTTTTCGCGTGGATGAGCTTATCCGGAATACGGTACTTCGTCAGGACTAGTGGCCGGCAAAAAAGACCCATCAGACAAAGTGGGTCGCGCTCTGTGGTTTCTGAGCACACGTAAAGATGCGCAGGAGATGGAAACTACAGCTTTGAGCCAAAGCATTGAGGCTGGATGTAGCGAATTGCACAGTAACCAATAAATCCTATATTGTATCCAGCGTTGTTGTTACCTCCACCTTGCTCCAATTCCACCAATCTCTCGGCGCGTTCAAAAAACGATGCTTCGCCATGTCCTCGATGCCCTATCTTGCTGAGTTGGCTCAGTAGTATCGTTCGGAAGCTTGAGATCAGCCATAGTCTGCAACAGCCGATTCAGACGTTGTTCGGTCGGATCCGAGGTGATGGACTCTACGTTGACAGGGTATTCGCCATAGACGTGTTCCATCATCGACTTCTCCCTGTCATCTTCGTCTTTGATGTGCGCCCAGTCCTTGAGCAGCTTGACGTCTACCGGATTCATCTTGTCGCGCAAAATGCGGAATACGAGTTCAGATAAGAAGAAGTTATGGCCTTGGTCGCGCAAGCCCTTGGCGCACAATATAAGTGTGGCTCGTGTAGCTTTCATTATGGCTGGGAAATGCTCTTGTTGCGCTTCTGGGGTGCGTAGACGCTCGATCGAGTCGAAGCCTAGCTGAACGAGGACCTGGAGCAGGAATATGTAATATGCTTCAAAACCGTGACGATGGAAGAACATATGGAGAAGCGTCTGAAGACTCGCTTTCGAGGCAGCATATAGTTGTGCCGGACTGAAGCCTGTATACTTTTGGAACGCGCCACTATTGTTGGGCCAGTTGAGGGCCTTTTCTCTTTCCAGGAACGGTTGGAAGGTCATAGTAACGAGGTTGTGGAACTGCATGCTGTGACCCAGATGTTAGTCATTTGTACATGGAAGGTGTGTCAAGCCTTACTGTAGCAGAAGCTGTGTCGGCATAGCAGCATTTTGTGGCTGTAGCGGCTCTGGAAGATCATGGAACCATTGAACCAGCATAGAATGATAACGACCGGCCTGCTCAATATCGAGATTGTTATCTCCGTCGTCTTCTGGAAGAGCCTTTCCGGCTATGTCATTCATAATGCATCTGAGCTTAATGAGCGACAGGAATGTCTGTCCCAGGTAGATAGGGGTCTAGTAGCTTATCAACTTGGTTTATCATGATGGGTAGGCGGAGGCGTACCAGATGTGTTGCAAGAGGGTATTTGACCCAGATCTCACCGAAGAATTCGTGTGCGTCTTGGTACTCGGGCAAGCCGTCCTCAGGTGGAAGTCGAGACAGTGGGGGCTTCATGAGATAAAAGCAAGAGAACCTGAACCTACATCAGAGGCGATCTCCATACCACGTTGGGGACAGGGGCAGGAGGAGGGGGAGGGAAAGAGGAGACGAGGGGAAGGAGAAATCAGGTAAGCTCATACGCTTGCTGAGAGAAGATGCCCCAGGCTGTGATGGTTCTTGAAATGCGGTCCTTCTGGTTATTGTATTGCGCGGTCTTAGCAAATAAGTCTAGTCTATCCGCAAGCGCTAGAGCGTGGGACCACACTGTCCAACCCATTTTGTCCATGCCATTGGCGAAGTAGATTCGGCCTATGATGGTAGCTGCCTGGGCAGACGGAAGACTACACACGGCTTGTGACTGTTCTAGCTCCCATAGCTGTCTGGTCTCAGCCATACACCGGTAGCTATAGGTGTTGGGGTTCCAAAACTCGGACCTCTGCTCAAGCGTACTCAAGCCATGCTGTTGATCGTGTCAGCTCACAAGGAAGCAAGTGGGAGAAGCCAAGATGGAACCTACACAGGCTGCGGTGAGAATGGCGCTGACTAGGAGTGGTGAACAGTAATCAGTCCTTCCAGCAGTCATGTCATCGAGAAAGTGATCTTTGTGGAAGCAAGGCCACAATGGGAACTCGTACAGGAAGTAGCCTTCGAGAAGGCGGGTGAGGAAGACGTCGTCGTCGCTTATCGAAGTCCACTTGGACGGCCTCAGCGTGTCTGGCGACATGCGTGGATCGTACATGCGGGTGCCGGGATAGGGCACGTGGTAGATGGCGCTGTCAGTCTGCTCCTGGATGTCGGTGCCGTGATGGGCAGTCTCGTTCGACAGGGCCTTGTACAGTCTGGAGGCAAGGTAGGGGTTGTCGGCACCGTCAAACAGCGGCATCATGTCAGCAAGATAGGGAGCGGTGAACTGGTATGTCGTGTCTGGAACCAGCTTGAGCTGGACACGTAGACTGCCATACTCAAGGAAACGGAGGAGGGTGCGCTCGTCGGTGCCGCGACGCAGCTGGGTGAGGATGTCCTGGGCGACGTGCCATGGCTGGGAGCGCAGATGAGCGAAGATGTGCCGGAGGAGGGCATGCTGGGGGTGATGGTGTGCGTGGACCTGGACCTGGCCATGGTATCGCCTGGCACTGGCACTGGCAGCAACGGGCCGGACCGCAGGCTGAAGGTAGTTGCATGGCGTGTGCCGCTTCCGGCACTCTGAGCACTGGGGACGTTCGGTCGAGCACTGGTCGCGTCAGAGGTGGGTGAGTTTAGCTCGCGCACGGCCGCCGACTTACCTTGGTGATGCGGCCGCGACAAGCTTCACATGCTCCTGCGCCCACAATCCGCTGCAGACTCAACGCAGGCCGCGCCCGAGATAACGCCGCGCGCTGGGTGAGCTGCGAGCGGGCTGGAGGCAGGTTCTCGTCCATGGGCAGTAGCTGGCTCACCTGTCAGGCGTATTCGCGATTCGGGTCGTGGCCGCGCCGTCTTGAATATTGCTATTATACTGCACGTGGGTGGTGCAGCGCTCAAGGACCTCGATACCTCTCCTCGCCTACGTACGTGCCTGCCTGCTCGTACACAACATGACGTCGCCCGCCTCGACGCCCATTGGCCACGGCACAAAGCGCCTTCCTCTAATAGGCGCCCTCCTCGTCTCGAAAACTACCCGATTCTGGCTTATAATGGTCAACGCGTAAAGGTTGTCTGCCGGAATGCTCCCCCGTTCCGTCACCACGACGCAGCTGCTACTCCGATAAGGACTGCACTCGTGACTCCACGCTACGACATCTAAGCGGACCGCTGTCTCCGCCTCAGTCTTTCCCTCTACCTCCGCCTCTGCGCACGTGTTTCGCCCTTTCTCCCAGCACTTGCAGGTAGTCACGTCCGAGTGAATGGATAACGGCCGCTACCCGCCCGAGGGCTCCAGCTCCAGGGAGGCAAAGGTGGCCATACCAAGAATTCCTGGCCATGGATACCAGATGCCGCCTGCCACAAGAACTCCTCGGGTCCGCACCGAAGTAGTGAGCAAGGCTGTGAGTAAACTCTCTTGTACGATTGGGCCGGTGCTGACGTCCGCTTCTAGTGCACGCAGTGCCGTAAACGAAGTGGGCCCTTCCTCATGTCCAGATCGCACAACTTCGGCTTGCTGACTAGCCCCAGAGATCAAATGCTCTGGCCACCGTCCGCAATGTATCAACTGTCAACGGCAGGACAATGATTGTCACTACGACCTGGAGCGCAAGGACCGCCTCAAAGGGTCTGTTCATGTCTTTGTTCATCTGCTCCACATCCCCGTCTGACTATCAAAAGAGCTCAACGCAAATCGCACGCCTTGACTGCACTCTTGATTGAAGTGAGCAGCCAGCTTGACGATGAGAGCAAGAAGAGAGTTGAGGATACCTTGGCATCTTTCGAAGACGACACGCCGCCGCCTCCACCAACACCTGCTCTCTCTCATGGCAAGCGCGCAAGAAGAGCTTCGTCGCCTTCCCCCAATGACGATGCTTTGAGCGCCACCTCTGTAGATGGCGGAGAAGCTCACGTCTCAGCTTCAGTCGGCTCCAACGAAGATCTAGACTTCGTCCAAGAGGACATTCTCAATACGGATGAGGCAGACAACACGGGCTACATGGGTCACAATTCGCACGTTCAGTGGCTCAGAGCCCTGGAAACCAAGATCGAACAGCCCGAGGGCGAACCTGCCAACATGCCTTACGGGCCACCGGGCGTCGACGGCGACGCCTTTAACCAGCGTGCTGAAGCGCTTCACGGGCGTCAGCAACAGAGCCATACTCGCCCTTCTCCGCACCATGACAAGTTTTCTGGCTACTACTTTTACCTTGACAAGTCCAACATCGACGTCGATGTTGGTGATCCACACGTCATACCCTCTGCTGAGTCGGCCGAGAGGCTGTTCGACTACTACAAAGCATTCGTTCACAGCCCATTTCCTATTCTAGGTGACATGTTCGAAGCTCAGCTGAAATCCTACTTTGCCAAGGATCAGGGCAGTCCTACGCTGGTCGTCTGTCCAAAGTGGAAAGCTGTCATGAACCTCGTATTCGCTATTGGCGCACGCTATTCTCATCTCACCGGCGCTGAATGGCGAGCCGACGACCGTGATCACCTAGTGTACATGTGGAGAGCAGTCCATCTTTTGCAGCTTCAAAGCATTGATACTCTAGTTGCGCAGCCAGACCAAGCGCTAATTCAGGTAAGCTGCATTCAATTTGGCCCCAACAGCTTTTGACCCGTGTCTAGGCATTTGGGCTTCTCTCTTTTTACTACTTGACAATAGGTCATGTCAGCAGGTAAGTCGTACCTCGGATGAACGAAGGCACGTTCGCCTCTGTAGCATGCAAGTATACTAACAAGGACTTTACAGAGCTTGGTACATGATTGGCATCGCTCTTCGACACGCACAAGCCGCAGGCTTGCACCTCAGACACGAAGACCCTTCCATGTCTCCCAAGAGAAAGAAGGCCCTAGCCCAGATTTGGTGGTCACTGTACTCCATTGAATGTGTTCTTACTTGCATAACTGGACGCCCACGTACTGTGAGCGCCATTGACTGTACTGTACCGCCACCAGGCGCGAAGGGTACGGAACTGGATTCGTCGTCTCGTGAAACCACCACATCAGCTGTAACGAGACAGGCATCTGAGTCTTCTGCCGGCGAGTCTATGATCAAAACCAGCGTAGATCCGTTTGACGTAGCCTACGTTAGGATCGATATCCTCATGGACAAGATCCTATCTGGCTTGTATTCCGCACAAAAGTCTGCCAAGTCCTGGAAGGCTGCCCAAAAAGAGATTGCTTCCTTGTCTGACGAATTAGAAGCCTGGGCCTTGCACTCCTTGGTTCGGGGTCCAGCAACAGCGACCGCTGCTACTTCAGAGAGCAACCTGAGCCGAGAGCAGGTGCTGCTCTACATCTACTATCACAACGCCAAAATTTGCATTACACGGCCCTGCCTATGCCGGCTAGACTTACGCATCAAGGGCCAGAGCGAACAGTCGACTCGATTCAACCAGAAGTCTGCTGAGGCCTGCATAGGTGCAGCTCTAGATCTCACTTCCATGTTGCCAGATCCTCCCAATCCTACATGGTTTTACAGTCACGGCCCGTGGTGGTGTGCTGTTCATATAAGTAAGTACCTTACACATTGCAACATGGGGCCTAACTAACCACCCTCGTAGTCATGCAAGCCCTTACAGTCTTGCTTCTTGAGTTGTCATTGGACGGCATACACTTGACGGTCGAAAAGTCGCACGTTAAAACCTGCGTTGATAAGCTCATACGATGGTTGAATTCGATGAAACCCGTCGACGCAGTTAGCGAGAACGCATACAATGTTGTCGCCAGAGTCATGAATAAGCAGACCAAAGAAGAAGCGGCCCGTCGGCAACTACCTCAGCTACAAGCGACGGATCAGCACCAAAAGCAACAGGATGTAGAAAATATGGCCTTTGACTCACAGCAGCCATATCAGCCGTACAGTCAACCTCTCACGTTGCAACAGTCAGATGTTGCATGGCCAAGTGCTAACCCATCCAATAGCAACATCTATTCGCAGTCCAATACAGGCAACTTCTATCTCTACGACGCTTCCGGGGGTGATTATCTGAACGATCCCACTGCAGGGCTGACGGACTTTGGTCAGCCACTGAGTCTGTTCTATGGGAACCCCTACGAGTCGACTTTCGATCAGTGGGAATGGGACCCGGCGGCTTTTCTGGATCCAGATCAACCGCCAGGTCAGGGTCAGGATCAAAGCGGGTACCCAGGGGGTCAAGGTTATCAAGGCTACGAAGGGTATGATCCTGGTGGTGGCTAGGTGTGTCGCGTACACTCGCCAGCACTGTGGATGGAAGAGATATGAACATCGCGCCTTTGGGTACCCTCGTTCAGGACAAAATAGAGAGAGATAGATACAGCGCCATGTCTGAGCAATCAGCAACTGTATTCTCCTTGTACAACACCAAAAAGCACGTAGCCTACTACACAAATGCTGTGTATACTACTGTATCAGGCTTACCTTTACGCGCGCAACCATAGACTGTGTCACGATGTTGGGGCTGTTTCCTTCCTCAGCACAAGTGCCATAGCTCACAATGAAGGTCTCAGGAGACTTGTTGCCTTTCTTTTTCCTTGAAATTTATTCCAGTAGAGTAGTAAAAATGCGCAATGCCAAGGCGATGCTTTGCAACCGCATATATAAGTTTGGTAGTGACAACACGAGCTTGCACAATAAATTGGTAACGATGGGCGGTTTAGAGCTCACACGCTTCCACATTGTACATACCCTGAACAACCTAACAGTCTATCCCATATCGTTCCAGCGCATCCCTCACCGCATCCTCCAAGTGCATGGTTTTCACACCAACGAGCTCATTGTCAACAGTTCGCTCCAAGTCCTCCGCACGACCGTCATCATCACCCTCGTAGAACTGATTACACACGCCCAACCCCTTCATCGCTTTACCCATCTGCGCTTTCCCTTCCTCCGGCTCACCGCCTGCCTTCCACTTCTCCAACACGATCAAAGCGTTTCGGTGGATCTTGTCCACGTCGACGTGCGAGACGGTGAAGGTCGTGTCGAGGAGCTTTTCAAGGGTGCGCAACAGCGTGCTTTGCGTGACGGTAGAGGGAGGGGAAATGGGGTCGAGGAGAATGGGGCGGTTGGGAATGGCGTTGGGGTTGCGGAGCATGTTTCTTGCTGCGAGGCCCATTGTGGGTAGCGGGGTCCAATGTAAGGGTTGGTTACCAGAGCCGTAGATGCGGGCGTGGCGGTTGGGTATGTCTGGTAGGGCACATGTTAGTGAGATAGTGATGGTTTGGAATTGATAGGGAGAAGATTACCAAAGCCTGCTGGACCTTTCATCAACCCTATCAAATAGAAGTTAGTATCACCCTTCCAGAGACAATGACAAGTAGTTAGAAACCAACATACACATATCGAAGAACGGCCCGCCGTTCAAACTCGTCCACGCCATCTTCCCCTCCTTCCCCAATCCCTCCAGATACTCCCTGATCCTACATTTACCGCCAACAAAAGCTTCCGGTAACCTTCTGAACGCCTCGTGGGTGATCTCTCCGACGAATTCGTTGGCGAAGAAGAGCTTGACGCCTGCAGCGACCGCGGCGTCGATGATGAGTTTGGATGGCTCGTAATGCGTGGCTCCGCCTGTGATGCAGTTTACTACTGCGTCTTGGTTCCGGAACGCGTCTTGGAGCGACGAGAAGGACGTGTAGTCGACAGTGCGATGGGTGATGGGAGGAGGTGGTTTGTAGGTTGATGTCGAGCGCGTGATGCCTGTTATGGTGAATCGGGGTCCGTCTTTGAGGAGTTCGGTTATGATGGCGTTTCCGACATTTCCTCCTGGCTGGCATACATGTGTTAATGTTGTGTGATGTAAAACAGCTTCAATGAGTTGGCGCGTAATATGAATGGGAGGGGAGACAGACACCGAGGATTGCAATTGTCTTGAGTTCCATGTTTGATGCTTTTTTTTGCGATGAGTGTACAGGGAGTAAGATTTGGAGAGCTGGTTCTCAATAACGACTTGCGATACGTTTTCATGAGACTACATGATCTTATACATCATGCAATGTGAAGTGCTCGCCCAACAGTCACCAAAGTTTCCGAAATAGATGCCACGGATGCATCATTTCGCTCATCTCGTCCGATTCTGAGGTTCGTTAGGGTTCAGGCTGATGTAGGCAGCCATTTGCATGTTTGCCTTGTAGTTGCCTGATGTTGGAAGGCGTTCGGCTTGGGTCTGGAAGCTGCATCCTTCGGCTCGGGAGATGAGAGACCACCGATCTGTCAAGACGACGCTTAACTCGTTCAGTGTTGGTGCAGCGAAAGAGGCTAGCTCGCTCACGTGTTTCGTCGGCGTTTGAACTCGAAGAAGCTGGCAAGATCAAATGCCGAGCGCGCTCTACACTCATGTCATCATTCAACGCGAAGCAGACGCGTAATTGAGGCAAGGAGGATAATAGTAAATAGAAGCATTCCTGCTGTGTCAAGGTTTGGGCAGATACTTGTTCCTGCTGTCGGATGTTATCATCGCTGCATATGCTTTGGGAAGTGACGATGGCGGGGCAGCCGAGGCCGTGATGGTGGGGTTGCATCATCTCAATACACAGATGATTGTAGCAACACAATAGTGAGGATAGCAAACTGTCATGCTTTCAATTGAGCGGAGTAAATTACCACGCTCGATGTTCCAATCAAACAAGTTCGGTCCGAGATAGGCCGCTTTGAGCAGCGCCGTTGGTGGATCTGGGCAGCACGTAATAAAAGGTTACCAAATGCCGCTGCGCTCAAGATAACATTAACCGGCAACTCTTTCCTCTCAACCCCTCCATTCTACCAGAGTACCCAATTACCCTTTCCTCACCTTCACAAACCACATATCCGCCATGTCGCAACGAGCAGCACTTCTTATCGGCAAGCTGTCACACGCCCAAAAAGAATGGCAGGCATGTTCGCAGGTGGCATCGAAGCTGCACGAGTACCCCGATGGTAACCGAGAAGACTTCCTCTCAAAGTGCAAGAGCGGTGAATTTGACGGCATCTATGCTCTCTACCGAAGCAACGACTCGAATCCTATTACCGGAGATTTCAACGCGGAACTGCTCGACGCTCTACCCAAGAGCCTGAAGTATGTTTGCCACAACGGAGCGGGATACAACAACATCGATGTCGCAGCATGCACAAAGAGGGGAATATCGGTTTCGAGCACGCCGATAGCGGTCAACGACGCGACTGCAGATGTTGCCATATGGCTCATGCTAGGCGCGCTGCGAAATATCAAGCAAGCATACATGGCAGTCAACAACGGTTAGTATATCCAACTGTTGTTAAATGGTTACTGACACATTGCACAGGCAAATGGCGCGGTAACTTCTCCCTCGGTCACGACCCCAAGAACAAGACACTCGGTATCCTAGGCATGGGTGGCATCGGTTCGGCAGTCGCACATCGCGCAAAGGCATTCGGCATGAAGATACAATACCACAACCGCAATCAACTACCAGCCAACGAGGAGAACGGAGCAAAGTACGTCAGCTTCGAGGAACTGCTCAAGACATCCGATGTGCTCAGTTTGAACTTGGCACTCAACCCGTCGACTACGCACATCATTGGCAAGGAGCAGTTCAACACAATGAAGGACGGGGTGATAATCGTCAACACTGCACGAGGTGCATTGATCGATGAAGCCGCTCTGGTGGACGCGCTGAAGAGCGGCAAGGTCTGGACATGTGGACTGGACGTGTTTGAGGAGGAGCCGAAGATCCACCCGGGACTACTGGAATGCGAGAGGGCGGTGTTGCTGCCTCATGTTGGAACCGGCACATACGAAACACAGGTAAGTGACGCTGTCCACGCATCTTGTTGACTCTGAATTACAACTGACGGCTTCCAGCGCGACATGGAGATATTAGTCTTGGATAACTTGAAGTCGGCTATCCAGAGTGACAAGCTGTTGACGCAAGTACCCGAACAGAAGGGCAAGGCAAACTTGTGATTGATCGTCTGGACGATCGGTCCACGAATTGGAAACATCTGTACTCAGTTTGGTAATGAAGAAATGATGAAAATCAGCCTACAACTATTCTTCTGCATGAAGCGAACTTGACATGACTATAACCAAGAAGCTTCGTGTATTGCCGTTTACATAGTCCCGACACGCTCTATGCCAGGCCGCATGTCGGCTTAAGGGATATAGGAGGCAGCGTCGGAGCCGGTGACTTGGCTCGGCATATGGATTGCTTAGTGATTAGGCCAATGAGAAGCTTGTCGCAATTTCAATCGCCTAGCTTCCGTGCGGAGACAGGATGTGGAGGAGGAAAACCTGGGGTCGGTCTTTGAAGGGATGTGGAGAAGAAGGGGAACCGTGAAAGTAAATCTGGAGTCGGTCTTTGCATCGTGAGAATATCGCAGGTTCGAGAAATCATCGGCTGCTGTTTGGGTTCTTCACATGCACAAGACGAGCTCACCGCCCGTAAGCAACGCTAAGCATGGGCCTAGTCTGGCACCCGACATCTTCGCACGTGAACACTTCCGCACATTCGATTCCTTCAGAAACTGCATCTGCGCTGCACAGTCAGCGACTCATCCCGTCCGTTAGTCCTGCAGCCGTTTGACTCGTCTACTCACACTGCAGCCGTAGGATTCACAGCAAGAGCCTCAACACAATCGCAGCAACGGCGTTTGAATGGAAGGATAATTACCACCCGCCATGCCGACCCACCAGCTATGGGGCGCTCCGCCCTGTGACTGGCACATCTGGAGTCCCCACGATACGTCCCCACGTCATATCCCCGACGTCGCGTTACACTATGCCGACAGCCAAGCCAAATAGGCTTCGCCGTTTGCCTGCGGGTTTTGGCTTCGGAGTTTGGCTGGCTGGGCGCAGCGAGGTTGGTGCTGGGGAAACTGACGATATATAGTCGGATGCTTGCCGCGATGTTACCTTACCTAGGCACATTGACAGATCGACATCACTGTCTTTGACCGCTCGTCGCATCGCCATCGCATTCGCGTCGGGCTTTTCTTCTGTCATATTTGGCTTCCTTTGCCACGCGCTGCAATCATGGCCAAGCTCAACATGTCCGAGGTGTGGGCGGACATCAAGACGTACCGTCGCGCCTATGTACTCACCGCTGTGGCTTCCTTTGGTGGAATGCTGTTCGGTTGGGACACGGGTCTTATCGGAGGTATGTTTGCGTATTCGCACGTGTAATGATCATGGCTAACGCGCTTGTAGGTGTATTGACGATGGACGCGTTCCAGCACTCATTCGCCCTAGATAAGGACAGCAAAGACTTTGCCAACCTGCAGGGAAACATCGTCTCTGTTCTCCAGGCGGGCTGTTTCTTTGGTGCACTGTCTAGTTTCTACGTCTCAAATACTTTTGGGCGCAAATGGGCCCTGATCATTGCGGACGTCATTTTCATCCTTGGGTCTTTGATCCAAACCTTGTGCGGAATTGGCACGACAAGTCTAACACAGCTTTACATTGGACGCGTCATTGGCGGTTTCGGCGTTGGACTGATTTCAGCGGTCGTCCCTACTTACATTGGAGAGAATGCGCCAAGGGCCATCCGAGGACGTTGTATTGGTTGCATGGTATGACCTGTCAAGACTGCTTTTCTGGAACCGACCCACTAACGCTAGCAGCAACTCTTCAACGTGACTGGTATATGTCTGTCCTTTTTCGTAAACTACGGCATATCGCTCGACATCACTAGCCCCACAGACGCGACAAAATGGCGTGTGCCATTTGCCCTCCAGATGCTTCCCGGCGCCTTCCTGCTTGTGGGCATGCTCTTCATGAATGAGTCTCCCCGCTGGCTCGTCGAGAAGAACAAGCTCAGCCAAGCCGCTAAAGCTTTGGCCCACGTCCGCGGCAAGAGCGTCGAGGACCCTGAGGTGGTGCAGGAGCTAGACGAGATTATTGCGGACTTTAACGGCCATGAGCAGATGCCAATGATGGCTCAGCTCAGGGCTGCCTGCTCGAGCAAGAAGATGCTGTACCGCTCGAGCTTTGTTGTAATCCTCATGTTCTGGCAACAGTGGACCGGTACGAAGTTCCGACATGCAATCTGCATTTGAGGCAAATACTGACGTGGTGATTAGGGACCAATTCGATCAACTACTATGCGCCGCAAATCTTCAGGCAGATTGGCCTTACTGGCAACTCTTCTGGGCTATTCGTACGTGTTTTGTAAAGACTGCATGCGAGCCAGACTAACATGCAACTAGGCAACTGGAGTATACGGTATCGTCAAGATCGTCGTTACTGCCATTGGCTTGATGGCCTTCACCGAGCAACTCGGAAGGAAGTGGTCGTTGATCCTCGGCTCGATGGGCCAAGCCTTTGCAATGTACTACATTGGCGTCAACCAGGCAGTCCACCCACCCACAGGTGAGCTGGATGGCAACGCAATCTTCGCCATCATGTGCGTCTATCTCTTCGTCGTGTTCTACTCGTTCGGGTGGGGACCGATCCCATTCGTGCTGGCATCGGAGTGCAGTCCTAACCATGTGCGCTCTCTGCTCATGGCGGCCTCGTTGATGACGCAGTGGCTCTTTAACTTTGTCATCGCAAAGATTACCCCCCTGATGCTGGACAACATTACGTACGGAACGTTTCTTTTATTCGGCTCGCTGTGCATTGTCATGGGTGTCTGGACGGTGTTCTGCGTGCCCGAGACGAAGGGAGTGCGACTGGAGTCCATCGGCGAGCTGTTCGAGGGCAACATCATCAGGGGTTGCATTCAGGATACGGTGCCGAGCAAGTCGCGGGCGAAGCAGCTCAGGCACCATCACGCCACGGACGATGCCGACTCGACCAAAAGCGGCGTGGGCAAGGCTTCGCGGGTTGAGCAGATCGAGGATGTGTAGAGCATCGGGCGGGAGGAGGCGATGGCAAAAAGCAAGAAGCAGCCAATGTTCAGTGCTTACGTTGCGGCGCGTCCGGCGGATTAGTACCGCGAGGAGTGCTTCGGTAGCTGAGAGGTGCCGAAGCCATGGCCCTGTAGCTAGACCAATCGATCGCGAACATGAGACTACACTGTGCATCAGGATCTGTACGACGTGTTCATACAGCGAAGATCGTGAACGGAACGAGGAACTGAGTCGGCCCGCGCAGGGCAGTCGCACCGGACGAGTCACGAGGCCATGGCGGACCTGGCGGTCAAGTTGGGTATCACAGGGCTATCCCGAGCTAGCGGGGTCAGTTGGGCGGCGGAAGACGTCTGTAACAGCTAGAGAGGGCAGCTAGGCGGCGGGGCGACGTTGTTGACAGGTCGAGGGCGCATGTGCTGACGTGCCTGTGGCAGCAGTGGGCACCTGGGTAGAGTGAAGCGTCGCGGTGGAACGTGGTAAATCCTCTGCAGCTAGTCTGAAATCTAGTCAACTGGTAGGACATGTCTAGAGTAGCGGACCCTGTTTCTGTGCGGCGAGCCATGCCGGCTGCTGAGTGGCTGTGCCTGCAGGGGTGCGCGGGCCCAAGCGAGGGCGATGACATAGTGCAATCTGACGCTCTCCACGCACCCTCGAAACCAGGCGGGCGGCGGCCTGGGCACGCTCTCTGTACCCGACCGAATCCTCACCCTCCTGCTGTCTATCCTTACTGTCCATCTCGTGTCGCGCGCTGCACCCCATCGCTCCCATCGCCGTGTGCACATCGGCCGTTGGCCCCCCACCGCGCTTGTCCGCCTCATTCGCTGCCTCGCGGTCCCACCACGAGAGCCCATAGCATTCTGCTGGGCACACCCTGGGAGCCGCCTGCAAATATCACGTTGATTTTACACCGTGCCAGTACCCCCGCCCCCTGTCACCACTCACGCCAGGGAACTTGGGCTATCCTACAACCATCGGGCAACCTGTTCGCGCTGCTAGTCGTCGAACCCTACTTGGCTGAGCCCACCGGCTGCATCCTCGCTGTCGAAACGCCCTTATGTACGTCCAGCTGCGGCTTTCTTCTTCGCCAGGCCTAATTTCTAATTCTCCTTCGTTGGTGCCATTTGCTCTTCTTCTCTTCACCTGCCTTCCTGCCATTTCCCCTTTTGAAACCACGGCTGGGCTGACACGATGTTGGGCAGCGTTCTCCTCCCCACTAAGCCGCCTGGCCTGAGGTCGAATACTTATTCTAGCACCGTTGCGCCGCCCCTTCCCCCACGCCGTAACTCGCTGTCCACCCAGCCCGCCGCCAAAACTGCTGCCAAAACTGCTCCGCTCCATATCAAGACCGTCACCCTGTCAGGCGGCATGGACACGCGGTACAACAACCGCCCCTCGTCCCCGCGGGGCCGCTACTCCAACCCCGCCAGGTCCTCGACGGGCACCTTCGCCGACCCCTATTACACCTCGTCTTACTATGGCCGTCCCAGCTCGCCACGCTCCAGCGTCGACCGCATTGGATCTTCCCACACCTCGCACGCCTCGCACCACACGCCCTACTACACGCCCAGCCCCACGACCTCTTCCCACGCGAGCAGCACCAAGTACGACTCGTACACTGGACGTCCACGGCGAAACACCAACGACCTGACCCGCCCCAATGTGAGCACCAGCGCCCTGCCGACGACTTCGCTGCCACTCCGCACCCCGTACTCGTCCCACACCCACACCGAACGACCGCGGAGCCCACTGACGCCCTCCTATGCCAAGGGATCCGATACCTACATCACCCCGGCCGCTTCACGAGGCCATAAGAAGGTCTACAGCGTCGACGACAGCAGCCACCTGACCAAGCTCGTTGCTGAGGTCGAGCCCGCACGCCACCGGGATCATGCAGACCGGGGTTACAGTGTCACAAGTGGCGGCCGCAGCTACCACGACAGCAGCAAGCCCCCGTCGCGCCTTACCGACCTGAGCAACAGCGATGGCTACTCCTACACGGACCCCGCGAGCATGTACCGTGACACAGAGCCAGCCTGGCGGAGGCCACGTGCTGGCAGCTTGGAACGTGGCTCTCGCCCCACCAGCATGATTGCGGATCGCCCCTCTCGTATCTCTACTCGCGAACCTGGTCCTCCCCCCTCCACACGTGGCTTCGACAAGATCAACAGCATCCCGCGGCCCCACGGAAGATCATCCTCGATTGAAAGAGGGGCACGCGAAATTCCCAAGTACGATCCCTACCCAGACTCAAGCCTCGCACGATCTTCCTCCTCTCGCACTTCCCGCGCTCCTGCCGCCATTCATCAGGAGCCCCGCCGAGACGCTTACCGCGATGACTACGATCGCCCGAGCCGTGGAGTCGAGAACAAGCGCCACAGCACCGCCTTTGAGGACCGCGAAGTGACCAGCCGTGGCTTCGGCATTGCACCGGGCCACCCAAGCCTCGCACACGACCACCACGCTCTGGACCGACAGCCTCTATACCCTCCTGCCGAACCTCCTCGACCGAGGCCACAAGAGTCTAGCAACCACTACTACCAGCCAGACCGCGCCGAGGCACGCATGCCGGAACCTCGCTCATCCCGTGACAGAGATCCCGTTCCACCGCAGGACTACGAAAAGCGCCCCCGTGAGCGTGAGAGCGGCCGAGAAGAAAAGGGTGGCTTGGTGCAAACCATAACTGGTGCAGCAGCAGGCGTAGCAGCGACCCTGGCCGGCGCTGGTTACATGAAGAAGGCCCGTGACAAGGACCGTGGTAGCGACCGAGACTCGTCAGGAGAGCGTGAGCGCGAGCGACGGAAGGAATACGATGAGCGTGACAAGCGAGACCGTCCTGACGAGCGACGAGAGAGGAAGTCCGAAGGCCGCCGCAACTCGCTTCAGCCGCCTCCACCGCCCCCCGCTGCTGCCCCAGCCGCTACCCCGGCAGCCATCGCAGCTCCCGACTACCCTCCGATGCAACCCGACTACATACCTCAGCCTCGCGAGCGTCGACACGAAGATGACGAGAGAGAGAAGGTTCCTTCTCGCAAGGCACCTGCACCGTCTACTGCGGGAAGCGACGAAGAGCGACCACGTCACTACGTTGATCGCGATGCCGAACGTCGGAGGGACCCCGTACCCCAGGAAGCTGCTCTGGACCCTGACGAGGAATACAGACGACGCATTCAGCAGGAAGCAGAACGTTCTAGTCGCAGCACTCGCGACAAGGACAGCGACTCTGACCGCGAGAAGGAGCGACGGAGGAAGAAGGATGAGCGTGACAGGTCTCGAGGTCCTGAAGACCGCTCGCGTGCGTCTCCTCCCAGGGATCGCCCTGTGAGCACATATGACGGAGGCATGGTGCAGGAACCGGAGTCAATGGAGAGGGAGTCTACGGGCAAGAGCGTAGTGATTGTCGAGCCTCCCAAGGAGCCCGTTGCGCCCGTCAAGGGCATCCTTCGCAAGCCAACTGAGAAGTTCCCTGAGGACCCTGAGCCCATCCGCGAGGGTGTTGCGCCACACAAGGACGCATTGAAGGGCAAGGACATTCCTGTCGGGGCTCGATGGACAAGGATCGATCGTCGTCTCGTCAACCCTGAAGCCCTGGAGCAAGCCAAGGAGCGCTTCGAAGAGCGGATGGACTGTGTCATCGTGCTGCGTGTCTTGACCAAGGAAGAGATCCAGAAGCTCGCTGATCGTACCAAGAAGATCCGCGAAAGCAGAGGTACGTTGACATGGTTCTTGTTTGATGATCAGTACTAACATACCCGCAGAAGAGGAGTACGATCATGACCGCCGCGACCGTGACGACCGCGACAGGCGAAGCCACCGTTCCAAGGACGATAGGGATGATGAGGAGCGTGACAGCGACCGAGAGCGTCGCCACCACGACCGTGAGCGACGCCGCCGCTACGACGATGAGAGTGACTACGACGACCGCGAGCGAGAGCGCGAACGCGACAGGCCCAGGAAGGTTGAGATCGACGATGGAGGAAGGTGATCACAGTGAAAAGATCTGCACATGATGCTGCATGTTATCTTCCTTCGGGGATATGCAGAGCATGTGCTTATGCTAGTTGGGTTTTAGAGAACGACGAAGGACACAGGGAAAGTCCTTCAGGTCCGTGGTCGAGGACACCACGACGGAGAAGCCACTACACCATCTGGCAGATCCGACATCCCACAAATCTAAAAGCAACCCTTGGAAAGACCGACACACCGCATCCTCTGGCGTTCTGGAGAGTGCAAGCCCTGGCTGACCGCCTCAACGTCGCGTTTCGAGGCGCCGCCACCGAAGTAGCAGTGGATCAGAGCACAGCTTCGATCATCGTTCATCCATACATGGCGGTGGCAGGGTCAGGCGCAAACGCAAACGCACTCGCAAAGTACTGGGTTGGTTATGAAAGTACATGGCACTCTTCTGTTATTCAATGTTGTTTGGCGCTTGGCTGGCGTTTAGGGGGAGGTTCTCTGTTCACTTTCGTTACGCATAGCGACGGGGATGGCATAGCATAGCATGGCGAAGAGTGAGCGTGCGAGCGAGAACCTTCTTTCTTGTACAATACTCGCATTTACGTCTCCTTTCGAATACCTATGCGAATTGATACGTTCAATATGACTTTCTACATATCGTTGCCGTGATATTTGTACAAGTGGCGCCTCCTTGCTTGTTCACTGATGAAAGAACCACACGTGATCAAGCCCTACGGCACGTATCCTCAAGTATCCACAGATTCATCACATGAAGCAAAGTTTACATTCAACTACCTATCCCGCCCTCATTTCTTACTCGGATTCGGACTAACCGTTCCCTCTGGAAACTTGCGAAAGATGTCCGCGATATGATCAATCGGCGCCGCCAACATGCCCATCGGGCCCTCGAAATACGGGTTCTCGCCCGCACTAGGATGGCTCCTCGACGGCACAAACATCTTTGTGCGAGCAAAGTTCTTGGCCAAGGACTCTGAGTTTCCGCGGTTTTCCGCAGAAGATAAGGCGGCTTCGAGGGCGGGTAGGTCGGAGCCTTCTTCTTCGGCAATGTGCACTTTGAGGAGGGACCAGATTTGTTTTAGCTTGGGGATGTAGGATGATGATGCGGGATCCATGTTTTGGAATTCTTTGAGGAGGATTTTCACCTGTGCATATGTTGTTAGTAGTGGCGGGGTGTGGATTGGCATGGAAAGAGTGGTATGTACCTCATGATGCTGTTTCCGGTCTAACTCCGCATGCGCCTTTCCCTTTGCGCCCATGTACTTCTCCATGGCTGGGTAGACGAGGAGTTCTTCGGCGACAGAGTGCCGGGCTAGCTCCCAGGTGAATTGGTTGCCGTAGCGGGTTGCATGGTCGATGTCGTCGGGGTTGTTGATGATCTCTTTGTAGTAGGTCTCTAGCTTGCGGTGGTCCTTGGTGATGGCTTCTGAGATGGTCGAATTGAGGGCTACCTGTGTGCGAAGGTAAGCTGGTCTGGCAGCGATGCGGAGTGTCTGCGGCCTGAAAGCTGCTCGGGTAAGTGGTGATGCGATGGCACGAGGAGCGAACATTGTGATGGTGTGAGATGATTATTGAGGATTGAGTAGTGAGGATTGAATAGAAGGTGTATCAAATCCATTCTCGAGGTATGTCGCGAGCTTTTGTCTCACATGGCTATCAACGCGATGAGACGTCATTTCTTCGCCAGAGGTGCGTTCCTGCACTGTCCAGCTGCTCTCTGCCCAGGTGTTTGCGCTTTGGACATGCGCGCGCAACTTGTCGGTGATGTCGCACAGTGTATTGGATGACGATTACCTGCTGCATGATTGGACTGGAAGCAGTGCCCACATGCCGTGTGTTTGGTACCGATAATTGTTGCAAGGTGGAGTAGTGTTCCGCGGAGCGACGTCTTGATGATGCAGGATGCAGCGGATCGGAAACGTCACATTGCCACCATGCCGAAACATGCGAAAGTCTAGAATTCCCATGCCCTTTTTACCCACTGCGCTCCACAGCATCCGCGGACTGCAACTGCCACGGCGAATGAGCGATTAAGTGTTAGTCTTATCTTTCCAAAAAGGTATTGCCCACTAAAAGCGGTCCTGGTTAAACAAATATTGACAGCATCTAATCCACACAGGTTGTCGATACCTGCTGCACTAAGCCTCGAAGCACCAATCCAGCTGTCAACTGTCCCTGCACGTGAAGTCGTGGCATCTTACCCCTCTCCTCTACGCGTCAGAGACGCATCAACGTGACAAAATAGAAAATACCCGTGTCACCCGTTGCCCATGTATGCAGCAATGGCGTGCCCTCCAAGTTGGCCCTCTTAAACTCGCACCCGCTGTTGCTTCTTCATGGAGATTCCCACATCTTTACCAGGCAAATTGACCGCAGCCATGTCGACCGGTGCAAACGCTTCCCAAAATGACCCCATGCAACACCCCCTCGAGGCCATCTCTCAGGGTATCCAAAGCGCTACTGGAGAGAAACGTGCGCCAAGGCAGAGCCACATGGGCTCAGCTAACGAGGGTCCTGCGGATATCGCTGCGAAGATAACGGGTGCAGTTCAAGGCGGAAAGCGTGAGGATGATGGCCCTTACTTTACCTCCAACGAAGGTATCCCGTGGATTGACCCGTAAGTTCGCGAGTACCCGCACACCTCAAGAACACTGTCGTTAACGTCTCATAGCGCACACAGCAAGACTATCGGTGGAATCCCCGTGGCCAGCGATGTCTTCCTCTTCCAGAAGCAGCAGACGTTCAACCGTTCCAAGAACCTTGAGCGTATGGTGCACCCTTGCGGTTCCGGCGCGTTTGGATATTTTGAGTGCACCAAGAAGGTTGACGCTCTTACGGTACGTCTGTCTTGATCATCTCACAACTGCCAAACCTGACTTCTCCTAGAAAGCCAACTTCCTCTCCAGTGTAGGCGAAAAGACTCCCATCTTCATCCGCTTCTCGACGGTTACGGTCGGTCGCGAATACCCCGATGAAGCCCGCAACCCCCGTGGCTTCGCCATCAAGTTCTACACCATGGAGGGCAACTACGACATCGTTGGCCTCAACTTCCCTATCTTCTTCTGCCGCGACCCTATTCAAGGCCCAGACGTGATCCGTTCGCAAGCTCGTAACCCAAGGAACTTCCTTCCTGATTACGATGCCATTTTCGATCTGTTGGCAAACACACCCGAGAGCAACCATGCCGGTCTCATGTTCTTCAGTGACCACGGCACTCCCGTTGGCTGGCGCTTCAACCACGGCTACGGTTGCCACACATTCAAGTGGGTCAACGCTGAGGGCAAGTTCGTATACATCAAGTACCACTTCATTGCCAAGCACGGCCAGAAGCAGTTCACCCAGCAAGAAGCGACACAGATGTGCGGTGAAGACCCAGACTACTCCAAGCGCGATCTGTGGGAGACCATTGAGAAGGGTGAGGAGATCGAATGGACCGCCATGGTGCAAGTCATGGAGCCTGAGGATGCGGATCCCGAGAAGCTTGGCTTCGATCCCTTCGATGTCACCAAGGTCTGGCCGCGCAAGCAGTTCCCCATGCAGGAATTTGGCCGTCTTGTGCTGAACAAGAACCCTGAGAACTACCACCGCGACGTTGAGCAAGCTGCCTTCTCACCCGGCAGCATGGTCCCCGGTATCGAGGACTCGCCCGATCCATTGCTCCAATTCCGCATGTTCTTCTACCGCGACGCCCAGTACCACCGCATTGGTAAGTTTTGCCTGTAAGCAGTGCATGTGAGACGTATACTGACTTCCTGCAGGCGTAAATCTTCACCAGATCCCCGTCAACTGCCCCTTCATGTCAAAGTCCTTCGCGCCTCTCCAGTTCGATGGTCAGATGCGTGTCGATGCCAACCACGCAGGAAACAAGCAATACAACCCCAACAGCTTCGCGCACAAGTTCCGTCCTGATGTTGCTGAGGCGCCGTACCAGGTCTCAGACAATGTTATGAGCCGCAAGAGCCACTACTGGCATGAGGCGAAGAAGAACGAGTACGACCAAGCCAAGGAGCTGTGGAGCAGGGTTATGTCGCCCGAGAGGAGGCAACACACCATCACCAACACCTTCAACATGCTCAAGTTTGTCAAGTATGCTGACATTCAGGTAAGTCTTTGCCTGCATCTTTCCATAGTACCACGCATACTGACGCCCGAATAGAAGAAGTACCTCGCACAAGTGTACAACATTGGTCCGGACTATGCCCAAGGCATCTACGACCTCCTTGCGAGCTCTGAATCGAAGCCGGAATTCCCCTTCTCAGAAGTCGAGAAGCTGTCTGAGTCGGCACATGTCTGGTTCAAGGAGGAGAAGTTCAGGCCTTCAAATGGTACGAGGCTGACTGGATATGCCCCAAGTGGGCCAGTCTACAACTGAGGTTTTGATTGATATTGGATATGAATGCTTGCGGAGATACCTAGCGCTGTAGTAACCTATTGGCAAGAATGAATCGTGAATTGCGAGAGCCACACGTGTTCGTACCAATTTGCTCCGATGTTGGCGAGACAGGGTCCGTTTATTCGGGCATGAGCACGTCCTCTGGACACCATTGCTGCAGGGTACCTTCCCCAAAAGCAAAGTCATTCTCAATCTGCGTGAAAAGATATTGATCCGCTTCGTCCAGCGTCCATGACCAGGGCTTAGGGCTGGTGGCGGCTGACGCAGGACCTTCCATATCATGTTGGGTGTTACGAATTGCGATGCTATCGATACTTTGTTGCTGCGACGGCAGTTGCGCAGTAGTGCCGACCGAAGTCGACTGGCCAACATTCCTCGCGCCGCCTCCGTCATCCGCTTCCATAGCCAGCCTCGAGGCTGTTTCTCTGTCGAGATATTGGAAAAATAGCTGTAACACCCAGTTGGTTACTTCCCACGTCTTCTGAAGTTCTTGCAAGCCCAGTAGGCAAAGCTTGGCTCGATGCTCAGCGAGTGTGCGATTGATGCCGTTCGAGCGCCGGAAGTTAACAACATGTATACATAGTGTGTTGAAGAGGTTTGTGATGACGTGCATCTGAGCGTGCCCAATGTTGCCGTCCGGTAGCATATCCTCGACTATACGCGAGTTGCGCGCTGCTGCCTGTAGCGCTACATTACCGTCCGCGGATGTGTTGTTGTTCTCGTCTACAACGAAGCTGGTGCGGTGGAGTAGAATGAGTAGATTGTTGTACGCGAGATGAAGCATGCTGGCTTGGAAGTTGGGCGGGTCGCCAGCATCGCTATGCAGCTGCATAATACTTGGAAGGTCTTGCCTCCATTTGTAAAGCTCGTTGCGGAGTTTGACTCTCTCCTCGGGCGCGAGCTCCCGTCCCGGCAGATAACCGGCATCCACTACTCTGCCAAGGAAGACCGCCAGCTGCACCATACTTATCGTGTACACAATGTACCTATGGCGGTCCTCGAGAGGAGTGGACGGCGAAAAAGCAGAGGTGAAATCCGCGGAAGACAACGGCTCAATATCGCAATCTTTGTCGCGTATGCGGCACGGTAACCCCAGAGCTGATGCGCATTGTCGCTCGCGCACATAGATAGCCCACCAAAGCCTCCTCTTGACCCTCGCACGTCCCTCATCAGTATCGCCCCCGGAACGATGTAGTGCTCTTGTTTGCGAGAGACTAATAGCTGTGCCTAGCCAATGTCGCGCGTCCTTCTCCAATAGCGCACCGGCTCGCCAAAAGCTCATCAGAAACAGAGCTTGTATGACTTTGACCTTGTCAGTCTCGTACGTAGAATCGTATAGGTCTTTTGCCCTGATGTAAAAGAACCATTTCGCTCGATGACGGTTTCCCCACCCAAGAGCCTTGAGGGTAGACTCTTCGCAGTGAATAACGCCAATGAACATCATAGCTTGTAAAGACAAGGCGGAGAACGTAAAGTCTTGGTACGAGGCCCAGAAGTCTTCTTCGTCTATGATTGCAAAGTGTGGATGGAACCACTTGAAGTACGCCTGAAGGAGCTCGAGTCGGACCTCGGCGGGAGGAAACGAAAAGGCTCCCTCTGCTTGTAGGATCTTCTTGCGCGCAAGACGTCTTTCAGATTCCCACTCTGGAACGAACGATTCTGCTCTTGCAGCGCTTGGAACGGCATGACGAAAACAGGACTGTCGGCGATGAGCTGCCGCTTCTGATGGCTCGCCAGCCTCGCTTGTCGTCACATAGCGCAAAGAGCTGCTTTCACCAAGGAAAACGGCATCATCTTGGTGGACAGATCCTGTTGTAGGTGGGTTACTCTGCTGTTCTGCCGACACTGCCGGAGTGTGAAGTTGGTATTGGCTTCCGGAAGCGGGCGTGTGGTTGACGGGGCTGTGGAAGTTCGACGATAGCGACGCGAGGACATGTGACGCTGCCACCTCATCCTCGTGTCGCTGTGGGCTCAGCGCCGATGTACTTGGTGGGCTATCCGGGATTAGTACCTATTCTAGAGCGCTCCAAGTGTGCTCAACTCACGTTTTGCTGCGCGCTTCCGCCTCGGCCCGCGGCTTCCTGATGTGCTTTCCGCGTTTCGATTCACGCGTCTCGCAGTCGACGTTGCCGGCTGCGCAGTTGCTACAAGGGTGTCGATCCGTGACATCACATTTGACGCGTCGCGCGTTGCAGGTCACACACGCCAACTTTGCGCGTTTCCGTGGTGGTTCGGACATGTTGCCGAAGCTCGAAGTCTGCTTTGTCTGGAAGACGCCGAAGTCGGTTACCAAAATTGTCCGTGAAGGGTGACGTTATCGATATCGGCTATCCTTCGGCATCTTCCTCCACCTTTTTAGTTGTCGACCATCACTTTGTCCATCTCGCATCATCAGATTCATTGTGAGCAGTTTCTAGGTGCTCCAGGGTGATAGGAAAATAGCTGTATCATGACATCCGTGGCCCGCCGCCTGTTCTCTACAACTCCCTCCTACCGCCAAGCCTCCGCAGCGGAAGCATGTAGTGAACTCCTCACACGATTCCAAAGAGGGCCCGTCTCGATCCGTAAACAAGTTCTTGATGCAAATCAACTTCAGTTGCTCTCCATAACACTCAACCGTACACCCTCCTCTTTCAACCCGCCACCAACCGGTACGCCGATTCCACCCGGCTACCACCTAGTCTACTTCACTCCCTCAATCGTTGAGGCCGAATTGGGACTTGATGGCACAGATCGCACTGTAAACCCATTGAGTCCATTTAGTAGACGAATGTGGGCTGGAGGCGAGTTGACGTGGGCGCAAGACAGGAACGCATTGCTGAGAGTGGGTCAAGAGGTCAAAGAGACGACGAAACTGCTGAGTGCTGAGCCCAAAACCTTGAAGAATGGAGGAGAAATGCTTCTCGTGGGTGTCGAGAAGACATTCTCAAACGATCACGGTATCGCGTTGACGGACCGCCGAAATTGGGTGTTTCAACGTGAGCTTTTACCTGAGAATCCAATGAAGGCACCGCCAAAGCCAGAAGAGAAAGTACTGCCGACTGGGAGGCATCAAAGAGACTTCTGCCAAACGCCTACTTCGTTATTTCGCTTCTCAGCGCTGACATTCAATGCGCACAAGATACACTATCTGCCTGAGTGGTGTCGAGAGGTTGAGGGCCACAGGAATGCTGTTGTACATGGGCCGCTCAATCTCATCAACATGCTGGACTTTTGGCGGGATACGAGTAAGAATAGAGATACAGAGGCAGTGCCCAAGTCGATAGCATATCGTGCTATGAGCCCGCTATACGTCGATGAGCCGTATCGAATATTACTGGAGCAAGATCCAACCGGGGGATGGAGAGCAGAGGTATGGGATAGCTTTGGAAAGCAGAGTATGAAGAGCACTATCGTGGAATAGATGCATTCTTTTATAGGATTGGCATTAAGGGTATAAGCTAAGTGACAGTCCGAACTATGATCCGGCCTAAGTAAGAGCCCAAACACTCATCCCAACGTGGAACCGTAAAGTCATTACTTCAGCATCGTACAGTCTTACACTCCTCCAAAACGGCTTGGCTAAGCCCACTTGCCCAGAACACTCATGAGAATCAGACCGCAAATGAGCGCGAACAAGGCACTGATGGTCCTGGCAGCACCCGCGTTGAGCAACTTTCCGTGCATCCAGTCTCTCGCCAACATCTCCACAAGTCCAACCCATGTCAAGATACCAGCAGAAAGTGCATCGAGTGTTCCAATGGCGATTATGGTGCTAGGGTCGTTGCCGTTGAAGTGGTCTAGCGTTCCGATACCGATGGCCATGCCGATAGGTGTAATGAGCGCAAACGTACCACACATAAGGAGCTTCTGTGCCGTACCAGCAACAGCCTTGGGGAGTTCGGCGATGCAAGTTCCAAGAGCGATACCTTCGAACATTTGATGGAAGAGGATAACAATGAAGAGGGTGATGAAGAATCCATCGCTTGCGACGACAAGCGTGATACCGATGAGGATGGAGTGGAAGATGATACCCGCCTCTAGGTTCATTACGTTGATCTTCTCTTCCATGGGGGTAGCCTCGCGCATCGGACCATGGGCGTGGGCAATGCCATGACTGCGGTTGAAGTCATGGGTGGGTTCTGCTGAAGGAGAACTGTTTCCGGATTTGTCTCCACTAGCTGCCACCTCGGTGCTGGGAGCAGTGTGTTTTCCCTGGCGCCACTGGACAAAGCGCGCACCGAGGTAGTCGACCAGGAAGGACAGCATCAAACCAGCCATGAAGATGGCAGCGGTGGTGGCTTCGTACTCCAGAACACCCAGACATTGGTTTGCGAACATGAGCTGGGCGTGAGTGAAGAGATGGACGAATGCAGTGGAGATGACGATACCGGTTCCAAACTGCTTGAGGACGACGAAGACGATGTTGTTGGCGCCAACGAGGTTGAACTTCCGGGTCAATACGGGGGTAAATACACCAAGTCCACTAGTAAAGAGAATGACGAAGAGCAGACCGACTCGTAGGGGGATGTTGTAGTCGCGCTGGGGAGCATCGCAGTTGACTTCGGATGCGCTTCCACCAACGCAGTGCTCAACACCGGCGTGGTCGTGGCAATGTCCCTTGCTTCCTGCTGGCTCACTTTCAGCAGCTGGCTCTTCGCCCGTGTGCGAGGAGCCTTCTGTCGATTCTTCAGCCTCGGTCATGAGCAGGACATCTTCGCCGGCATCGTCGACACAGTATCTTCTCCAGTCAGCATCTCGTCAAACATTGTGATGGGTGGTGCCTACGTGTCGGTTTGGTGCTTGTGACATTGCGTGTACTCCGCTTGGAACTCTTCTGTCGCAGTGGGCCCGACTACCTGGAACTCATCTGAGCCAAACATGCAGTAGCTGTTGCAAGTTAGCGCCGAACTCTACCAGCCAAAGTTGACAACGGGAAGACATACAGAACAGTCTCATGGGGATGGCATGATGACACAGCCGTGATGGAGGGGGTTCCG